CAGAAGTCCGATGTTGGTGCCTCAATGCTAGCACTGCAGTTGAAACATGTTGAAACATATGCCATAATCCCTTTTGTCCCTCCCACCGCTCAGGGTTTGCCTCCCGATCTTGCTGATGCTGAAACCTTGCCGGTCAGCGCCTCAATAGTCAGGGCAGTGTGATGCGGTTGGTTACATGGATAGGTGGTTTTGCAAATCATTGGGTAGTTGCTCAGGCTTCTGAAGATGACATTGCCAACGCTGGTCATGGGAAGGCATGCCCACATCCTGCATCCGTCATTTTATGGTTTACCATTAACATATAATTTTATAAGATGTTATGTTCTGTTTTCCCAGGATGACATGTTTGGTGGACAACTGTAATGGAATAAACACAACCATGATTGGAGTTCGTCGCAGGCTCTGGTACCAGTGGTGACTCCCAAGAGGGGTCTGGATGCCTCTTTGCCTAGCCCGGCACCAAGCAGCTCAGATACCACGACCACAACTCCCAAAGAACGTGCAGAAGATGTTCCACGTTTTCTGGGGGGTTTGACAAAGCGCCAGGCACCTTCTTTATGTTTCCCCATATGTTTTGAAAACATAGATCTCACAGGTTTATGTTATTATAAAAGCTTGTAGTCTGGAACCAAAGCAAAGTTTGTTTGAAGTTGTAGCCCCCTGCAGTTCAACCTTCGACGAGCTGCCAGAGCCCGGCTGGATCGAATGACTAAGCCCCATTCCAAACGTCGAGATTTGGATTGCCCTGAATGGTTGAAACTAGAGTGGCAAAATGGAGATAAGAACAACATTGCCGATCTACTTCGAGAACATAACTTTGACAAGGACTATAGTGCATTATTTTCAAGAAAGTGTTGGATTCATTGTGGGAAAGTTTAGTCCTGGATCCTTAGCATGTTCTAAAATAAAATAGTATGTTTAAAATTGGGATACTCTGAAAGTCCCGCTGCCATAGCAGGAGAAATTCATGGCGGAGCTGCACGTGCTGGTGAAGCGCAAACAGGCGTACAAGGTGACCATTAGTGAAGGTTGGTTCAGCGAGCAGGAGATGCGGGATGATCTTGGTTGGAAAGAGTGGGGGGCCCTGGAGATTCTCTTACTAATAAATTTTCGCACCATAGCTAAATTCAGAATTTAATTCCAATGAAACAGTTTCAATCTTAAAGTGACATGATTTGTAGACTTCATTTTAGATCAACCCTTTGCTCTTTGAAAGGTCGAAAATCGCCGGAGCAAAGGCCCGTTGTGCGGCCATTGGGGCCACTCATATCAGGCTCACGTCACGGGGTTGTCCAATGAATCCACTTTTTCAATGCAATGTTTTCTCATTGCGTCTTATGGCTTTTAGAGTTAGAAGATTGCCAATAATGTTAAAGTCAAACATTGTAGCATATCAAAACACATGCTTGTGACATTACAATCCCTGACGGAGGTGCAATGCCTACGACGGGCAGCAGGAGTTTTGGATTGTCACAAAGGAGACAGCTGAACGCACTGAAGAGACCAGCTTTGAGGAAACCCACACCAAGAGATCTAAGGCCCCAAACCATGACATTCAATGCTCTTCATCCTTCTCAAAGCATGCTGCCCATCCCATGTCCTGGCAATGCCAGGCAGATTCTGACCCTACGTGCCAGTTTGAGAACAAGTTCGCACACTTGGGAGACTTAGATACCCGAGATGCCAGGGAGAAGCAAGTTCGCTTGGAGGATCCAAAGCATGACAAGTACGCTCAGGATAGGGTATCACAGAAAATATGTTTCCTGTATTTGTTGAATCTTGGTACTGAATTAAGGTGATTGATTTCCTTGTTCAGAATGCCAATCAGTCGAAAATAGACCAATGTATACATAATAAACCAAGAATTGAACATCAATATGTTGATCTCCTGATAAGACATTTCAATTGACTTAACATTTATGTTCTTTGCTTCCCGCAGTTTGCGGCCCCTGAGACCAGAGAAGCCCTGAAGAAAGTCTTGGATTCAGTCATGTCGAAGTCGGGCAAACTTCGATCACTGGCCCGGGATCTTTCTAGAAATTACACTGATGATGCGGCCAAGTCGTTTCTTTGACTGCAGTCCTGCGGTATTTGTTCCATGCCCACAAAAGGGTTTCTTACTTCTGGTAATGGAAGTTCTCATGAAAGGAAGTGCAGGAATGATTGTGGATGCTTCAACCTATATATATAGTTTGCAACCGTCATCATATAACATTTTGGTTGAGTATGGTTAAGCATATAAGTATATCATTGGCTGAGGAATGTCTACATAAACAAAGGTAAACATCAGCATTTCGAATTCAACTGTCCATCCTCACCCATGGCCTCATATTTGGGATGACTGCTCGTGCAAGGTGCATTTCTACCTTGGAGTCCGAGATCAAGAAGATCGATGCCGAATATGACAAATGCAATGAGACATGGGCACAGGGAGAAATGGACCAGTTTCGATCGGATAAGTTTCTCGGTTTTATGATGATAAACCATGATAAACCAAGGTTACTACATGATGTAATGTATATTTTTCTTGTCAGAACAATTCCCTCATCTCTGACATCAATCATGATATCCTTACTTTGCCATCCCACGCTTGGATGTTTTCCGGACCTCCTGAGGTTTTACACCATGGCTGAAAAGGCCATGAAGGATGCAACTTTCGTGCCAGGGTCCAAAACTGGATTTCACATCAAGTCAGGTCTATCATCGTCTATCCACTTAATTACAAGTATTTAATGATAGTAGACATTTGAGATTCAATAAATCCAAGAATGAAAGCAACAGGTTCAAAAACATCAGGTGAGACTTGTTTGAAATTTCTCAGCTTCCCCGGTTTCCTGAGGTGTAGCAAGGCCACGGCGATCGAGCTCAAAGTCAGGACCGCTGCTGACAATGCCTCCTGCAATGCCGTGCGCTGGGTAAAGGTTTGGGTAAAGCTGTGTGTTGATGCAAAGTCGTGCAATTGATTCAAGTCAACTTGGTGTCTGGGCAGGAACGCCAAGAAGTACTACTCCAAGAGCAGCTCTCAGAGCAGCCCCAAGAATACGGAGGGAACTGTGAAGGCAAAGGTAACAAAGGGAAATGCTGTGAAGCCGAAAGGTAGCAAAGCACCAAAGGCTCCCAAGAATAAGGTGAAAAAATCCCAAAAATCTTAGATCGTTGGCATGGTGGGATTTTAACATGGCATCTCATCAAAAGTAGCTTTTTTTCTGATATCTCTGACTCGACTCACCACATCCGAAACTGTACGTCTCATGTGTTGAATACCAACCCTCAAAAGAAAGGTTTCAACTGTTCAACCAACAAGCTGGCTATTTCTTGCTTTCCACAGATCAGTATACGTGCAGGCGGTTTGTGGTCAAGAGAAGTTTGGACAATTAACTGCGGTACAGTCAGTGTGCTGTGGAGTGACTGTGAACTGCAGTCCTTGTCCGCTACACTGGCGACGAGCATCAAAGCCTAGCAAAGGGATGGGAGAAAATGTGGGGGTGAGCTGAACATGGTGCAATCCAAGGCCAGGTTCAAGGCCACACTCATCAAATAGAATTCATAAGTCATAAGTAGCCGTTCGTAATTATGATGTTAACATTTTTGAACCAAGCAGGGAGCTCAACTTTTTAAGTTTTCACAGTTGAAGTTGAAACCATGTTACTTTTGCTACACTGGTACACCCTTGACCCCTTTTAGATGAATGGGATTCTCATGGGAACATCTTCGGATGCTATCGTTTGCCAGGTCAAACTGCTGGCAAAGCACTGCGCGGCCTCAATGAAGATATCGGCAATGGTGTTTGGACCTCAAATTCATTGGGATCTGGCACAGTTTGGTTCCACTTGATGCACCCTTACATTGCACATTGAATTGGTGAAATTGGCAAATGTCCTACTTGAACTTTCTGAAGTATTTTGGCTTTGATGAGCCTGGTTCAAAAAGACCATCCCATCTGCGATGAAGAGCAATGGTTGTTTGAACTCCTTACATCGCACCGTTCCGCTTCTAGATTGCAATCAGATTGTTCAGGGATATCTGGTGCAAAAAAACTGAACACCTGTGATAAAACAGATAATCAATCGAATTGGATTTTTAAATTCGGCATTTGTGATATCTAACATTTCCATCTCCATCCAAGGACGCTCAAGTCCCGTACCCTTGGACAAGGTCAACAGATGAAAGTTGCTTGAACCCTTTAAAAGTTGCTGACAAAAAACATTTGCCAGGAAAAAAATGTGTGGATGATCAGCTCTTGCAACCAGTGAAACATGACTTGCAACCAGTGAAAAAACGACGAACCGATTTGGAGAAATGGTCCGATGTTTTCTATTCCCATTCCAAGCTTACCCCACAGCTCCTCCAACTCCAAAAAGATGCTGAAAGCCAAGTGCCCGGGCGCATCTCCTTCCAGCTACCTGAGATCGGAGCAGTGGCTGGCAAAGCTCTGCTTCATGCGATGGCTGTCTTGGATAGACTATTTGCTTCCTGGTCACCTCTTATATTCAAGATCGGTTGGACCTCCAATTGTGTTTCGAGATGGTGCAACAAAAAGTATGGGTATGGCATGTCTCGAGATCAATGGCACCACATGATTGTGTTGTACTACAGTTTGGACCCCAGCGGGCCCGCCATGATGGAAGCGGCCCTAATCGAAAAGTACAATAGCACTTTGTTTGCATATGTGACAGGTTTTTTCCCCATACGCAGTATTCAAAAGTTGATGTGTGTAGATCCAATCCCATTTTCAAACCCGATCATTAAACATGCTGCCCCTCCCAGGTATGCCTGGCTGCAGAAACGTCAGAGCCGGAGGGGACACCACGATCCCGGGCCAATCGACCTTGGACGGGCAGCTGCCACCGGTGTACATGATCTATGTTGTGTACAGATCTTTTAAGTACCCCCCGGCCGTGAAATTAAAATCTTGAGGTGGGCTATGTACTACCCTAATGATGTATATATGGATGTGTAAATATGGAAAAGTTACTCTGGGCCCAATGATGGCCTAGCACCAGTCGAAAAAAATCACGCTGCAGTGTGTGAGAGTTTGCTTTTGCAACGCAAGCCGTTCTAACACTCATAGCCAAGGGTTTGGAGTTGTTACTTTGTACGCCATGTCTCTTGAAGCATTTAACATCCCACTTTTTGATGTAATGTTGGAAGAGTTTTGTTTATCCAATCCCCCTTGCAACCCTGACTTGCCAACGCCATTATGCAATTTCCTTGCATCGCCTAGGCTTCCTGTGCAGCGGCTATTCGCACTGCCAAGAACTTTGTTGAGGATCTTGGTGAACAGGCTGTGTCCCGTTCTGCTGGCATTGCCCAATTAGCGCGGCGGTCCGAAAAAAATGGTGAAAGAGATTGCCGAAGGATCATGGTAAATCAGTTTGGTCTCACCTTACAAATTGAAAAGGCTCAGCTACCTGGAAGAAATGGCAACACTGTTCCAGTTCTCAGTCTGAGATCTTGGTTTAGCTTTCTGCTGAAGCAAAACCATTGGCACATTTTGTGCGGCCTTTACCGTCCAGATTGGGTCCGGGAAGAGGCGATCCTTCAGTCTTTTTGGGATCATTACCGGGTCCACTGCCCGCAGCATGAAATTTTTGAAAAGGAGAGGCGTGGCGAGGTCGTGCTCCGTAGGTGCGCGCCTCTCCTGTTGCATGGAGATGAAGGACGTGGGCGGCGACATAGTGCCTTCCTGGTAGTTAGTTGTGCCAGTGTTCTGGGACGGGGGTTGCAGGAGCATGCCCGGAAGGGCAAACGAGAGTATCTGAGAATGTTGCCCAATTACAAGGGCCATACTTACACCTCCAGGTTCCTTATTGCTGCTCTTCCCAAGCATTCATATACGAATTCCAATGCTGAAGTTTTTGACCAGCTCATGAGCTTTGCAAGTGATGAATTTTCTCACCTAGTCACTGAAGGTGTCACCCATGAATGCCGTGGCCAATTCTGGGGATGCCTTTTGCAAGTGACCGGCGATTGGCCATGGCTGGTCAAGAGTGGCAACCTCACAAGAAGCTTTTGGAACGCAGAAAAGCACAAGGAAACTGCCGGAAAGAAAAGGAAAACTCCTGTTGGAGTTTGCCATCTTTGCTGTGCGGGACAACCCATGTATGATTTTGAGGAAATTGGAAGCAGGTCTCCGAAATGGCTTAAGACTCTGCATGCAGAAAGTCCATTCAGAGTACAACCGCCTTTGCTCAAGGTTCCCCACGTTTGCGGTGAAAGTGCTGGACTGTGGTTCTTCGATTTGTTTCACACATGGCACATAGGATGCGGGAAGGCATTCTTAGCCAGTTTTCTGGTCCTTTTAGCTGAACAACGGCCAGAGAGCAACATCGATTTGAGGATGGAGGCTTTGGGTCAAGACTACATTTCCTTTTGCAAAGGCCGTGGCAAGCGGCCGTTCATGACCAAGCTGAACAAGGAGTCTCTCAACTATCCTACGACGCAGTGCTTTCCCAATGGCAGCTGGCACAAGGGGGAGCTCACTACCATGTTGATGCAATATGTGGAGCATCGTTTTTCCAATGAAGATTGGAGCGACTTCCCGGTGTCATTGAGACTATCTGGTGAAGCCGCTGTTGCGGTCAATGCATCCATGCGGGTGCTGTACTCAGGGAAAGCTTGGCTATCAGTCTCAGAGGCCAGAGAAGCTGCAGAGCAAGGCCTACGTTTCCTTCGACGTTACAGCGATCTTTGCAAGATTTCACATGGAGAAGGGCGTACGCTTTTTGTCCTTCAGCCAAAATTTCATGCCTATCACCATCTGATGATCTATTTGCTGGAGGGTTCTTCCAGAGGAGCAGTGTTGAATCCTTTGTGCTATGCCACGCAGCCTTCAGAAGACTTCGTGGGACGACCTTCACGTCTTAGCAGACGTGTGACCAGTCAACGGCCGTGTGCCGACCGAGTAATAGACCGTTACTTGCGTAGCTGTTATCACCAATGGGTGAAAGCTGGTTTCATAGTTTGTGCCAATTAGTGCCAGCACATGTGTTGCGTGCTATTGTCTCCCTCTATTAATGGCTATGGCAAGTCAGCTCCCTCTATTAATGGCTATGGCAAGTCAGGGTTGTCCTCTATGATATTTTCCCTCTAGTCAAACCAAAACTGCACCAAGCACACTCAGGCACTGACAAATTAAGTCGAACTGCAAGTCGCCAGGGGAGCCAAAAGATCTATGAGCTGACCGGGCAGAAAGGTGAATCAGGGCAAAACCTGGTTCTAGAGTAAACCCCAGTTATCCCAGGTAGAACTTCGTTTTACCTATGAAACTGTTATTTTTTAAGGTTTCGGAAGGTTAAGGTATATATATATGTACGTATATGTATATATATATATATATATATATGTACGTATATGTATATATATATATACTCCTATTCAATTCCAGTACAAAATCTACAATTTCCCATGAAATCCGGAGGAAAACCCACCGCCACCCAGGTCCACCCTGGTGGCCGTCTGCGCCTCTGCCGCGCCGCTGCCCGCGGCGGCCGACGATTTGCCGCCGCCGCAGATGCAGCCCTTTGGGGCGCCACAGATGCAGCAGCCGGGAGCACCGGCACCGCGGCGATGGGTTGGGGGGTTAGGGAGGGGTTGGGGGTTGGACATATTAGAAATGGATGAGATTTCTATGGAATTTCTATGGGATTTCTATGAGATTTCTATGAGATTTCTATGGAATTTCTATGGAATTTCTATGGGATGCCTGAGATTTCTGTGTGATTTCTATGGAATTTTGATTTCGAGATGGGATTGAGATTCGATTTTCTATGGGATTTGAACTCGATTATATGGTAATTAGAGACTGATGATTTATATGGTTAGGAGTTGGTAAACATGACTGTTTGGGAAACACTAGAAAAACTAAAGGGTTGAGGGAACCGTTTGGGTTATTTTTAGGTGGTAACCTGTAACATTTATTGCAGTTGGTTTCTATTTAAATGTATCCACTAAATAACGACCACTCCAACTATTTAAGAAGTGGTTACGTCCAAAAAATATGGAGATAAAATAGGCACACAGTTCTGCATAATCAATTACAAACCGTCAGAAAACAGATTTCATAGGTTCTTGATTAACGATTTAAAAATCAAAATCTGCTGACAAATTGGATAAACCTCAATGATCAAGTGTTTTGGATGCGATGAAGGGGATGATGGGATATCCATGGTTTTAAGATCGAAAACATGTTAGTGTTTTTTCATTGGGGAGACTTGCGGGATGAATTAGGAAAGGGGATTTTGATAGCAATAAGATACACTATTATACCATAGTCAGGAATGATATTGAACATATCACGCAACATGATCCTTCCATAAACATATTGTCAAAGGTGGTGCCTCCTGTTATGCGTTGGTTTATAAAGGCAATTCACTATGAAAAAACATAACCATTATAAATCTCAGTGGACCTACTTATAAACCAACTTTGGCTAACGCTCTGGGGCACAATTGTGTACCTAATGTAGCCTACTTTGAATGACAGGATTGACCCTGTCTTGAGGTGATCTAGAAACCTGTGCCGATTCGCTGGTGCCAATGTGTGCCGAAAAAAATGATTCATCTAGTTTCTCTGCAGGATTTATGGTGGAAACTTATTTGTAGTTAGATGGATTTATCTGAAAATAGAGTACATACCCCAGCATCGTTTACCCTACGGTTATCAAACTTGGCAATTCCCATGAAAACTTCCATTTGTGGTGGATTTTCCATTGTCATGTTCGATGACCAGAGGGAAAAACATCATTTTTCCCATTGAAACTTGCCATTTCTTATAGGTACAGGGTGGTGCCCCCCCCAGGGCCCCAGGATGTTTGTTGGTTTATCACCCTTATTAACATTCATTAACTAGTTCTTTCTGTATCTACCATGAACCCAACAGTCACTGGAGATACGGGCATCAACTTAAGTTGGTAAATCCCATGAACATCATCACTTCACCGTTTTAACCTAACTAATTCTTATGAGTTTGGTGATTTTCCCATCTATGAACCCATTCAACTCTCCATTGACATGGCATTTTCATGGATTTTCCCATGATTTTCCCATGATTTTCCCGGTTTTCGTATGATTTTCCCATGGCTCTTGGCCAAGGCCCGCATCAGCGGACGCGTCACCTACTCCCGACTGTTGGAATTCGTGGATGAAGGGTCTGTGTGGCCTGGAGAAATGGAGATGGAAGACAAATAATGACGGAAATATACTATAATTAACCAATAATATTTACCATAAATGATTTACCAAATTGATTTACCCATTATTCCCATCTATATGATTATATAATATTATGATGGAAATATTATTGGGATTATTATTGGCTGATTACAGTATATAGTATTGGGACATATAACAATAAATGATAAATGATAAAAAATATGATAAGTGATATATATATAATCGGGTATTTACTTTTGTATACTTTATGATATATTTCATAATAAATGTAAATGATATATTTACTATTTTTATTTACTATATGATAAATAACAGTAAATGATAAGTTGATAAGTAATACCAGTATATTATGTATACAGTCACCAACAAAATTATTGGGATTATTATTGGCTAATTATAGTATATAGTATACCTATTATAACCCACTATTATATCAGTATTAATATAGTACAATAGTACAATACCTTGTTGGTGTTTTGGAACCATGTTTTTTTTGATTTTCCATTCAGAAAAGGGAATTTCATCGTCCATAATAACCCCAACCAGCTATAGATCCCATTGAATCACTGGTTATTGGGAATTTCCACATGCTGGGAATAATAATCCCAACTGATTAATATTTTTTTTTCAGAGGGGTAGGGCTCAATCACGAATTTGATGTGTCCATTCAGTTGGGAATTTCATCATCCCTGGCGATTCTTCAGTCACATTTTTCAGAGGGCTAGGGTAGGTATACCCAACCACCAACTAGATACAGCCCCAGATGAGGACAGCGTGGTAAAACTTCGGAATTCACCAGCAATGGAGAAATGGAAAGTTGAGCACCAAAAATTGGGATTTAGCCTCTGGTAATGACTGTTGCATAGCTATGGAAGCCATGGCCCATTTTCCATTTAGTTCGTTGATTTAGCTATTTAGCATCGTGATTTTCCATAGCAAACTGTTAGTTTACCAGAGGGTAAATGGAAACAACACATAACTAGCAACAGATTAATTGTTTGTGGGCTATCAAAGATGGACTGTGAATAATCATGGGAATATATGATAGGACTATATCTAGATAGATAGATAGATAGATAGATAAATAGATGGATGGATAGATAGATAGACAGACAGACAGACAGATAGATAGATAGATAGACGATGGTTGGTTGATAATGTTTCTTAGTTCAGAGATTTCATCGGGTTTTAAGTATCAAACAATTTGGGAATAGAAGTGGGCAAGGCTTTGCAATCTTGCCTTTGCTAATGGCTAAGGTGGGATCCACAATAGTTGATCCAGGTTTGGGAAATTATGAAAAAATCTAGGGAACATCTCAAATCAACCAAATGGTAATAATAAGTTCCCACATACTGGTAATAGTACATAATAATGGTTAATAATGGATTATTTCTTGGATAATAATAATGGATATTACATAATATGATATGATCTGGTTGGTGGTTTGGAACATCAATTTTATGACTTTCCATATATTGGGAATAGTAACCCCAACTGACTTTCATATTTTTCAGAGGGGTAGGGCTCAACCACCAACCAGCAAATGAAAAGAAAGTAAAAATTCAGGAAGGCTTCGGTTCGTTTAGGTTCGTTTCGGTTCGTGGAAACCTCAAATAGGGGCGGTTCGGTTCATCAGCAGGCCGGTTCGTTTCGGTTCGCGTGACATGGCGGTTCGGTTCGGTTCGGTTCGGTTCGTGTGACATGGCGGTTCGGTTCGGTTCGGTTCGTGTTGTGTAGTGTTGCAGGACGAGAGGTCTTTGACAGAATGGGTGTGGATGAATAGCAAATAGTAATGTTATGTTGCAGCAGAGGGATTTGGTTTTTGAATGTTTGAAACTGGTGGTGGGGCCGAGTGTTTGCAGCATCTAAGTAAGCAGTGTCCAAAACCACGGTTTTTTGATGACTAAAGTGCTTATGCTGTTTCTTGGATTGGGGACAATGATTATCATCATCAACTATTAGAATTCTTACATCTAACCACTGTACAGTGAAATTGACAGATCCATTGCCAACGGCATTTTCATTTTGCGAAAATCACTTGCAGCTGTCGAAATCCAGTCGTGGCCGGCAGAGGTTCAATCAGCAGCCAAATGCCATTTTCATATGGCGAAAGTCGTTTTCAGGCATCGAAATTGAGGCAGTGCCTGCAAAACCCAAACATTATCCAAACATCATTTTCATTGTGCGAAAATCAGTTTCGGAGTTGTTTTGGCAAAAAGTGGAAAAAAGTTGTAGTAGCAGTAGTAGTAGTAGTAGCAGGAGTAGGAGTAGGAGTAGTAGTAGTAGTAGGAGGAGTAGTAGTAGCAGTAGCAGTAGCAGTAGCAGCACTAGAAGTAGAATTAGCAATAATAGTAGTAAAGAAGTAATACTAGTTCTAGTAAGGCTACGAGTAAGAAAATAGTAGCCTCTCGTAAGCGGTTCCCCAGCAGGTATGGGTCCCGACCGGGCTTTGCCGGACAGGAACGGGCAGAGAGGCTAGTAATAGAGGTAGCAATATAATATACAACCGTAGGGGTGGTGATAGCAACAGTAATAGTAATAGTAGCAGCAGTAGTAGTCTAGCCGTACCAGGACGAATACTATTAGATGTTTTCCTGAACTTGATTTTCACTGCGCGAAAATAATTTTCGGAGTTGTTTTGGCAAAAAGTGAAAAAAGTAGTAGTAGTAGTAGTAGTACTAGTAGTACTAGTAGTAGTAGTAGTAGTAGTAGTAGTAGCAGCAGGAGTAGTAGTAGTAGTAGCAGCAGTAGCAGTAGCAGTAGCAGTAGCAGGAGCAGGAGCAGTAGCAGTAGCAGCAAGATAAGTAGAATTAGTAATAATAGTAGTAAAGAAGTAATACTAGTTCTAGTAAGACTACGAGGAAGAAAAATAGTAGCCTCTCGTAAGCGGTTCCCCAGCAGGTATGGGTCCCGACCGGGCTTTGCCGAACAGGAACGGGCAGAGAGGCTAGTAATAGAGGTAGTAATATAATATACAACAGTAGTGCTGGTGATAGCAACAGTACTAGTAATGGCAACAGTTCTTAGTAGCAGTAGTAGCAGTAGTAGCAGTAGTTTCAGTCGTTTCAGTAGTAGCAGTAGTAGCAGTAGTAGCAGCCAGCACTGATCACTTGCAATTCCTGCAGCACTTTGGCAGATGATGTTGCGCAGGAATCCATTCATTACAGTTGATTCCTCTTTCCAATTCGATTTTCAATTCGCGAAAATTATTGTTGGAACCCCCGGAAGCTGACAAAATATTTTTTTTGAGAATGTGGAACCGGTTCGGTTCCATTCGGTTTGCGTGAGAACAATTGGCGGTTCGGTTCGTGCCCATTCGGTTTGCGTAAGAATAAGTGGCGGTTCGGTTCGTGCCGGTTCGTAGCCTGCCGGTTCCTGAACGGTTCGGTTCCCGGTTCACGGTTCGTTTCCTAAGCCATACTGAAATTGAAAATCCACACGGTTTGGTGTTGAAGACAGACTCAGGTAGACTGGGAGATCCAATTGCATGGGTACTTGACAAGTACTTCAATCTTTCGCAAAAAATTGATTCACGATTGGCCACCGATCCCATGATGAATCAGCCCAAGTAGCATACACAATCATAATCCAGACATTATGATTGATAATTGGATATTATTGTGAATGCGGCATACATCCCATATGCCAGTGGACTATGATCTGATTATATCTGGTTATTACTCACAAAAAATAACTGGAAATTATATTTGGTTATATCTGGTTATCACTGGAATGCAGACATCTCAATGGGGATGTCGACCACCATTCGGTATGAAGAGAGCAACCTGATTCGATGAGAAGTGGTGACCAACTGAGTTGGCTCGGCTGGTTCATAACTACCATTTCTCTGATACGTTTGTGGTAGATATACCAAACTAGTTCGTGGGGTGGACATAAACCAACAAACATAGGGTTTGGGGGCCACCTTCTATATCATCCCATTTTTTTAATTATAGTTGGTTATGTACTATACCACCGTTGATATCCCATTCAATACCAACAGTTCTGAATGAAATTGACTCATGAATTATTGGCTCTTAATATCGGTGTGTCTGAAAATAGTGTACCCCTAAACCCAATGGTTAATGATCATTATCCCTATTAAATGGCTATAATTGGGAATATACCCTATTTTCAGACAAACCCATATATAGCACTCTTGGATGATGTTTTCTCCATCATGTCCAGGTTTTTTACCTCTGGATTGGCCGGCCGCAATGGGGTACAGTCCTTCTATTCTCTGGTAATCTAACATAGCTATTGAAAATGGCCGTTTATAGTTGATTTACCCATTAAACATGGTTATTTTCCATAGTTTTTTGTATGTTTAGCAGAGGGTATTCGCCATCATTCCAGGTTCAAAAAACCTTTCAATCCTGGGATTTTACTCTCTGGTAGTCCAAAGTTGCTAAGAAATCCTTGTCACTACCCTCTGGTAAACATACAAAAAACTATGGAAAGATCCACCATTTATTGAATGGGAAAATCAACGAACTAAATGGGCCATGGCTTCAATAGCTATGTCTGTTAGATTACCGGAGGGTATCAAAGATAGATTTTCATGAGGATATCCCATCAAAATTTACCCAGAGGGTAAATGAAGGCTAAATTTCCAGCCTGCGCCATGTTTAATTTTTCGGGTCAACCGTCCCAAGTTGGTTAGATCCGAATCCCATTACGGTAATCTAACAGACATTGCTATTGAACATGGCCGCCATGGCCAATCAAGTTCGTTGATTTACCGGACTTAAAGATGGTGATTTTCCATAGCTATGTTAAATTACCAGAGGGTATATTGTATTGTGATTTATACTCCATTGTATTCCGATTATTGTTGCTGATCATCCACATTTTGTTGCTTCAATGCCATTAGAATATAACGTTCTCATGATATTCCCGTTGAAGTCATATAGATTCATATTTAGATTCATATTTATTCCCCAGTTATGATGTATTGAAAAATATCTCCAGTTGGTTTTAAAACTCCGGCCATGGAGTTAGTTAAGTAGCTAGTTTTTATGGCTTATTTCATTGGGATATGTTTGTAATTTGTAGCCCACTTACCCTCTGGTTATTTAACATAGCCATTGTATAGATGGCCCATAGAAATAGATGGCTTACCTATTAATATCATGGTGGATCTTTCCATGGCAAACTGTTAGTCATAACCAGATGGTATATCTTCATAAACATCAACAATGAGTTATTGTTAGATATCAAACAACAACTCATTGTTGATGCTTAGAACAATAACATACAATAACATACATAACTAACTGTCGTTAATCCCACGGCCCATCGAAAAGTCATACAATAACATATTGTTGATTTTTTTAGAACAATAACATACAATAACATACAATAACTCTAACTGTCCTTAGCTCAAAAAACACGGCCAAAAAGGAAGCGCGTGGACTTCTACGATCTCGGCAAGACGGCCGTGGCCCTGGTGAACGTGGCCGGACGGGAACAGCAACTGGTCTGCGACCTTCCAGGCCTGGGAAATCCCTGGAGAATCCATGGTGACTGGTGGTGAAATGTGGGGACCTCCTTAAAATAATGGGAAAACCATGGGAAAACCATGGGGAAATGGTGATTTATATGGAAATTCACCATAAACCATCTGGTTGGTGGTTTGGAACATCAATTTTTTATTTTCCCCAATAGTTGGGATGATGATCCAATCTGACGAACTCCATCATTTTTCAGGGGGTGAAGTATACCACCAATTAGTATGGTTGATAAACTTAAATAACTCTATAATTATAGTTGTAAGTTATAAGTATATATCATAAACCAAGATTATTAGTTATAAACCAACTTGGCGATCTAGAAAACCCGATCTTGTAGGTGTTTGGATTGGTATAAAACCATGAAAAAAGCTGATGGGATTTGTAGGTAAAATCCATGGAATTTCATGATTTGCATCTAATTCATGTTGCACTTTCACGGATTTGCACAAGGTTGTGTCCCATATCATATCCTTGGTAAGTTGGCAAACTTATTTGCCGATCGGGGTTCATGAAAAAAACGGTTTATGGTAGATATGTCGCACCACTATTTGGGGGCATTACCTCGTAGGGGATATGATGAACTTGATGATTTATTCTCTGGTTATTTAACAGCTATGGAAGCCATGGCCCATTTATAGATGATAAAAATGATGATTTACCTTTTAAAAATGATGATTTCCCAGTTCTCTACGTTAGTCATAACCAGAGGGTATATTATTTTTAGTTACATATTTACCCCAACTATATTGATTATATCATCTTATATCATCCATAGTTAATTAGTGGTTAATAAGTGGTTATCTGATTCATTCCTGTGACTATATTGACATGTATAGACATTAATAGTCAATAATCACTATTCATGGTCATTAATAGTGATTACCCTCTGGTAAACAAATATAGCTATAGAAAATGGCAATAGAAATAGTTGATTTACCAAAAAAAATGCTGGATCTTTCCATATAAATCACCATTTTCCCATGGTTTTCCCATCATTTTCCCATAAAAAAAAACGGTGATTTTCCCATGGTTTTTTGGTGTTTTTTTACGAGTCCAAGGAGGCCACGGATGATGATGAAAAACTCCATCTTCTGATGGATTTTTGGGCGATTTCCCAGCCATGTTACCCTCCGGTAAACGTTGACAAAAAACCATGGGAAAATCACCGTTGTCTTATGGGAAAATGATGGGAAAACCATGGGAAAATGGTGGTTTATATGGAAAGATCCAGCAGTTTTTTTGGTAAATCAACTATTTCGACTGGGCCATGTTCAATTAGCGAACTGTTAGTTTACCAGAGGGTAGACTACAGGAGGCAGGGCGCACCAAAAATTTCTCCGCCAAAGCACCTCATCTCCATGGTTGGTCTTACACCTCCAGTTTTGTTCGGAAACTCACCAAATATGTTGGACCGTAGAAGAATTCCATGCTTGGAGGGTGCAGTTGGGGTCAAAATTTAGATACCACCCACGGTGACGACCTTCACAATTTTGGGACATACCTCCCTATATACCCTCTGGTTATTTTTACATAGCTATTGAAAATGACCATTTATAGTGGATTTTCCCATTGAAAATGGTGATTTTCCATAGTTATGTTAGTTTACCAGAGGGTAACTTCGGTTCTATGTTTGCAAAGTGCGTTCCCATTTTTTCGCCGTCACATTGCCCTGTTGCCCAGTGGATTTTGTTGTGAATTTCCACCAGAAACCAATCTTGGGGACCGCACGCGTCATTTCCATAGATATTCCCACATATTCCAACATGTTGGACCCCATTATATGAAAGCTTCCCATATTGTCATTGGTGAACGGTTAAATCCTCCCCACCTTAAGAAACCGAATGAATCTCTTTCGACACTGTCAACAGAAACATCCAGAAACCTGTCGGGGATAGCATGGGGATGGGAGTGTGTGCTGGATGGGGATGCAGTTGATGTGGACATATTACAGCCAGTCATGGCCATGAAAATTACCATCTGGTTATGTCTAACATGGCCATGGAAAATCTCCATTTTTAATAGGTAAACCATCTCTAAATGGGCCATTTTCCATGGCTATGTTAAATAAGCAGAGGGTAGTTGTAACTGGTTACAACTGGTTATTTCAATATTAAAAATTATTCTGATTCTCTGAACGAAAATACCTACCTGCGTATGCAGTTGAGGTTACACATGGGTACAACCGTGGTTATAAATCCTCATAAGTTGGGATATAGCCCCTGTAACTACGGTCCTACACTTATAACTGGAACTGCACTTCCAAGGGATATGGGACCCCACACGGTGATCTTGGAATTAGATGGTCTATGGCTATGGTGAGTTAATGATTTAACCAACGATAACAATAGGATACATTCATGGGTATCCAAGGGGTATTTTTCGTCAAATTCCCCTTCCAGGAGTTGACTTGACTTTTCATAGATCTTCCTTGTAAATGTGTGATAATTATCCATTCTGCCTGACATTATCTATTATATATATATGTTGAACTCACATGATCTATCTGATATTAGATCTATTATCTATTAGATCTATTATCTAGTATCTATTATTAGATCTATGATCATTTCTATCTGATATTAGATCTATCATCTATCACACATTTATACCTTTTTATTTTAATGCGACGTGTTGGGGAACGAACCGGGTGACGACTTCCACCAGGAGCCACCACCGGACTGATCGAGAAGTTGACTGCAAAGAACATCTCAATTGAGGTGCACCAACCCGACAAACCGACCCTTGGCTGCCTTGAAATAGCAATTTGTGTGGACCAAAAACGGCCAATTTATGGTGGACATAGATAGACATAGTGTGATTTTGGCGAAACATGATGAGTTTGATGTGGACCAAAAATCGGTGGACATAAAACTGGCTGGTCCATTTCTGGCTGGTGAAGTATAAATGGTCGATTTCCACTTCACCATAGAAAAAAACCCAGTTTTGGTGTTTTACGGGATTTATGGAGATGGAAAAACTGGTGATTTTATGGGGTGATATTCAAAATCTCATTCAATATAAATGCCCTTGTATCTGGAAACTTATTCGAGAAAATCTGAGGTGAAATGTCAAAAAAAGATCATTGACATTTCAACACAATGATGAATTTAATGGTGAGTTGTAGAAATAGTAGGGAAAACGTATTTGAAGAAGCATTTGGGAAAACACTGGGTGAGTTTGGACATCTTTGGGAAACTTGGTCGGTTTGTTGTCCCATCAATCGGCTTTGAAACAGCGAAACAGCCCCAGCTTGTGGGTGATGTTTTCCGACGGATCGGCCTATTAAGGAACCCCTTTCTGGGTGTCCTGGGTGACATCGCCTTCCCTTTGCCACCAGTCCTTCCAGTCCTGGCCGGGGAATGCGGACAAGGATCCACGATATCTCGAGATTTTTCTTTGGCTTTCCTGGCTTTCCTGTCCAAAAGAAGGAAGACCATACATAAATGCGATGTATCATCGTGCATCTGGATCCAAGATTCAACTATTAAACTGATTCAAACTGGGGCAAACCAAAGCATGTTCTGATGGCAAATCCGTGGATTGAATCAGAAACAATGGCTAAATCTGGAACCAGAGGGAGAGGTACCCATTGTTTCCGAAACAATGGGAATATATACGAACCAACTCAAAAAAAATGCAGGGTATTTTTTCAGATTGGCGATGAATCATCCCAAATCTACCATCTCCCGAAATGGCTAGTACCCTCTGGTAAACTAACATAACTATGGAAAAATCACCATTTCTAATGGGAAAATCCACTATAAATCACCATTTTCAATAGCTATGTTAAATTACCAGAGGGTAGTTGATTTACACACCGACCAAGGCCGATTTTGATGGAGAAAAATTCATCGTCCGTCGTCGAGAATGACCCGTTTTTTTGGTGTTTTTGTGTCTGGAATTAGCATTGATTCTTCAACAGAATAGACATTATTGCACATGTTCGTTACATATTCATGGATTATATATGTATTGTTGCGGATACTTACTTATGATATCAGTTCGACAAAATTATCCTTCCTATACATCTATTCATGGATTATAGCTTCCCAAAAAGAAAATATGAAAGTAAAATCCTACTCACATAGTGTTAAGGTACTTTTCAATTAAGTCATAATTTCATAATAATAATTCAACTATCATTATATCCCATTGTTGTTGGTTGTATCCCAGTACAGTATATCGCCATAAAATCAGCATGACATCTCATTAATTAACTATTTTTTAAATCCCCATGAAATCACCATTACATAAAATCACTACCTGGTTTATTTTGGGGTCCTGAAAACTTTCGTAGGAATCACATACTTGGCGCAGTTCCAGTGAATTACCTCGGTCTATTTTACCATGGATCATAGTTATAGGTGACATTTTCCAACTTATCTATGGGAATTTCAGGAACCTAAAATGGAGGTACCCACCATATATAAGGCCTATATAAGGGCTATGTAAGGGGATATCCCCCTAAAATATGGCCTTATATGGTACAGTACCTCCATTTTAGGATCCTGAAATTCCCATTGAACTTATGGTGGTTATCATCATAACTATACCCGTGAACCTCACCTGTGATTCATCCCCATGATTAGTCCATTAGAACCCCCTGAAAAAAATCCAATTGTTCATCGTTTATTATCCTCAAACATACCCTTTGGTAAACTAACATAGCTATGGAAAATCACCATGTTTAATGGTAAAACTCACTATAAATGGCCATGTTCAATAGCGAACTGTTAGTCATTACCAGCTATAAAAACCTATTAAAAACCTAGAATCAGCAAGTTAGTTCAACCAAATCCCATTAATATTCCATTAAATCACTATAAATTCATCATTTAATCACTATAAATCCCATTAAATCAGCCCATGGTCCTGCCCCGTTGGTCGTTCCCTCGAGGCTCGTCATCGGGGGCTTGCTGTTCCTTCGCTCCCGTGGCGGTGGCGGCGGCGGAATCCCGGGCTTCGGCGACTCGGAACGACTCGGAACGACGCGGAAACTCGGGGTGGAGGTCATGTCCGGTAAAATTTGGAGGCAAGTATTATAGTAACTATTGGTATATTATTATTATTATTGTTATTATTATTGGGATTATTGGGATGGGGCCTCCCAGTGATATAACTATTGGCTAATTATTATTATTACCCTCTGGTTTTGGGATGATTATTGGGATTAATAATGGTTAATGATGGATAATAATGATATAACTATTGGTAAAATTTGGAGGTATATAACTATTGGCTAATTATGATTGTTATTATTGGGATTATTATTGGAATTATTATTGGATAATATTATGTTCAATATATGTTTACTGTTTAGATACAGGATGGGGCCTCCCAGTGATGTTTGTTGGTTTGTAAACCCCATGAATACCATAGTTATCTAGTTCGTTATATCTACCATAAACCATAGTTAAGCCTAATTATTATTGGCTTATTATTATTATTATTACCCTCTGGTTTTGTTGGTTTTGTTGGTTTTAATATTATCCAATAGTAATCCCAATAATAATCCCACTATTGGCTAATTATGATTGTTATTGGGATTATTATTGGATAATATTAAAACCAACAAAATTATTGGGATGATTATTGGGATTAATAATGGTTAATAATGGATAATAATGATATAACTATTGGCTAATTATTATTATTACCCTCTGGTAAATTAACTCGTTGACCCTGAAAATACGCAATTTATAGTGGAAACTAGTCTTCCCACCCCTTACTGCCAGGGTCTATGTTAATTTACCAGAGGGTATTATTGGCTATATAATTATGATTGGGATTATACTATAACAAAATTATTGGGATTATTCTTGGGATTAATAATAGTTAATAATGGAGTATAATGGATAAAATAATGGTTAATGATGGATAATAATAATGGATATAATTTTATTGGCTAATTATAGATACAGTATAAAACCAACAAAACTAGACGATGATTGGCTGGTTCATGGATTTAAATAGGGCTAATTGTTAATGGTGAAATGGCTGGTTCAAAATTATTGGGATTATTATTGGCTAATTTTAGTATATAGTATAACTATTATTACCCATTATTATATCAGTATTAATATAGTACAATAGTACAATACTGGTTGGTGGTTTGGAACCATGGAATTTTTTATGAATTTCCATTCAGTTGGGAATAATCGTCCCAACTGACGAACTCATATTTTTCAGAGGGGTTCAAAGCACCAACCAGAAATTATTGGGATTATTATTGGCTTAATACTGTGATAATACTGGGAGAAGGTATATTATGGCCTATTGTGGGATGATACTGGATACTTAGTGGTTCATCCAACGGATCGTAAGTGGTAAAGGTTCACCCCAGCATTTTGAGTGGACTAAACCCTACTGATCCCATAAAAGGAACCAGGGTTATAACCCACTTACTAAGTAGAATGAGCCACCAAGTATAAAGCCAACAAAATTATAGAGTAGAAATTATAGCATGTATCATCTATACAATTAATGATTATTTTATATAACTACTCTTCGGTACTTGCTGGTACGTGGGTCATTATTTGAGGGTTGGCTGCTAAACGCTTGTTGGGTGCTTAAATTACCCCTGATACATTGGAATAGCACAATAATCTACGAACTGGAAATGGCCCATAGCTAGCCAAGTGGCCCCCGATAGTTAGCTAAGTTGGTTATAAGTAAGTTGGCAAGGGTTTAATCTATAATGGAGTTTCAAAACTAACAAACATAACTGAGGGGGCACCACCTTGTTTCTGTTGGTAAATATAACTAGATTTGCAACATGATTTATAGAAGATAATATCCAAGTACTTGAGCAGTGTTCAAAACTCCTGTTGCTTGATGATAAGGGGGTTATACTACCATATACTACCCAAGATAGATCTGGCGCCTTGTCATTGCTAGTCATAATCCATGAAGTGAGAACGCCTATTTTCAGCAACCGGTTATGACTAACATAGCCATGGTATTCGATGGTTTACCTATTAATAGCATAGTCGATCTTTCCATGGCTATGTTAGTCATAACCAGAGGGTATCAGCAACCAAGATCAAAGCGTGACATTTCGGTTTGCACCGCTACCCAGGCAATCAGGGCAAGGCCAAGATCATGATTCAGCCAGAGACAGGCGTGGCGAGGGTTGATACCCTGTCAGGCCCAATGGAAGAGACGTTGATCTTTTTTGGGTGATCAGATTCTGTCGACTATTTGCGTGCAAGTTTTTAGGGCTGGTTAGGAACTGTTGTTTTTGGAAGAAGATACAGAAACAAAAGAATGGTTGAAACATCAGTGATACCTTTGCCAAAGCGATACTCATCCCATAAGTGATGCGAACTAGTGGGTCAACCTTTGTTCGATACGAACGTTCGTAACATCAATGGTAACATCAATGGTAAACAGGGTCATGTTACTATTGACCATTAATCATTAATAACCATTGATGTTACCATGACCTAATCCATTGATTACCATCTGGTTATTTGACATACCCATGGAAAATCACAATTTTTAATAGGTAAACCCAGGTAAACAATCTATTTCTATGGGCCATCTATACCTTCCATGGCGAATTGTTAGTCATAACCATTGATTAACTCATTAAGATCAATGGATACCTGATGCGAACTAGTGGGTCAACCTTAATCAGCCTCGCTATCGGTAACGCCATGTCCGATTACCATGTCGCCAATCGCTCGAATCATGGCTTGCACCAGGGCATCAGAGGCGATTTTTCAGTTGCCGAAAAGAAAGAAAAACGCTGTCTTCGATGGTTTGTTCAATATATGTTTACTGTTTAGATACAGGATGGGGCCCCCCAGTCGATAACGTTCAGTTGGTTTATAAATGGCTGAATTCTATGGTTTATGGTAGATATAACTATAGATAACTATGGCTAATGGGGCCCCATCCTGTATCATTGAAAAATGTGATTTATTGGATTTTCATGGGATTTAGTGGTGATCTCAGGGTAAATATAAAAAATGGGGGTACCCCCCAGATCATCCATTTATAGCTAGGCTTTTGCATATTATAAACATTTATAAACCATCTAGCTTTTGGGGTACCCCCATGACGATGGAAATCCTGAAATGGACAAAGTCACATCTCACACCTAATGTCAACCCCCGGATTTTGCTAAACCATGGTTTATTAAATGCATTTTATAGTGTATAATACTTCTGGTAATACCCATATGTTCATATCCATTGTTTACTATACACCACATAATCCGTTGGTTTGAGTTTCCCAACAAGCACTGGATGTTGATTAAAAAAATGTAGAAGTCTATGCAAAGGATACCTTTAATTGGGGGGAAATTAACGGTTTGCTATTGTAAATGACCATTTATAGTGGATTTTCCCATTAATCATGGTGGATCTTTCCATAGTTATGTAAACGTTTACCAGAGGGTAATTGGGCGGAAATTAACAAACCAAAAAAATGTTGAATAGGATGTAGGGTAATTTTACCCAAGGTAATGGGAATAGAATGTTGACGAACCAAGATCATTTACTGAAATGTAATGGGAATAGACACCAATAGATCCTGGTTGGTGGTTTGAAACATTTTTTATTTTCCCATATATTGAGAATAATCATCCCAACTGACGAACTCATATTTTTCAGAGGGGTAGGGCTCAACCACCAACCAGGATCTTTGGATGGAGGATTTATCGTTGCTCATGGTCCCACCATGCTCCAAACATATGATTGGTGAAAAAATCCCCATGTTCATTGGCTTTGTCTGAGGGCTACCCCCAAATTTCATAAGTGACAACCGCATTAGTTACAGCATTTTCCACATTAAAATTGCTGTTTGGGGGTATATCCCTGCCGTTTTCAGACCCGATATCCCATGAGTTCCCTATCTGACGACTTGCCGGCTTTCTCTCACCATTTTCCCATGACGTTTTCATGGTCAGAATCACCATAGAAAAATGGCGCTAATAGCGGCTATAGACACCCAAATATCGTAGTAAGTTGGTTGATGATGGTTAATGTATGGTTAATATATGGTTAATATATGGTTAATATATGGTTAATATATGGTTAATATATGGTTTTTATATGGTTATTATATGGTTATTATATGGTTATTATATGGTTATTATATGGTTAATGATGGTTAATTATGGGTGATCATGTGTTTCCAACAAATCATGGGGGTACCCCAACAAATCGCTGGATGGTTAATGGAAAATCATGGAGAATCCCTTCAATCCCATTAAACCCCCTTAGTTCACCATGGTGATAGGGGCTATCACAAACATGAAACAAATCACCATGGTTACGACCCTCCAAATACCATCTCAAAAACATGGTAAAAATCATAGAAATTATGCGGGACGAATAAATGAAGATGACACACAACATTTTATGGCGACTTAAAAGGGTTTAGATACAGGATGTGGCCCCCAGTCGATAGCGTTCAGTTGCCTTATAAGTGGTTGAATTCTATGCTTTATGATAGATATAACCAAGTAGTTAATGGGGGTACCGGGTTTTGTTATGGTTTCTAAACCAACGTTCACATCACTGGGGGGGCTCCATCCTGTAGTAAACCCATCGTTTTCAAGGCGTGAAGTTCGAGAACGTGGCGGGCATCGACGAGGCGAAGGAAGAGCTCATGGAGATCGTCGATTTCTTGAAGGCCGCAGGGCGCCGCAGGGTGTGTGGATCCCCCCAAGACCTGGATGGTGCATGGAAACTCCTTTGGAAATATGGATGATGACTAGGGTTACCCAATGTTTGTTTGAAAACCTCCATGATGTGTTAATCCCAAAATGTGAAATATGGACCATGAAAAGCTCCATGATATGATGGACTTAATACTTATTATACATTCAGAAATCCATCATGGATATTCATGGATTTGTTTCATGGATGATACATGGGGGTACCCCGCATTTTTTTAAAACTTCCATGATGTCATGATGTGTTTGAGGATTTAAGCAAGAGAAAATATGGTATAATAATGTATAATAGGGATTGCATCTATATAAGTGGTGAAAATTGTGGTAAAATGGGGATTATATCCATGATTATCCGAGTATATCCAATTTGTTTGTTCCACTAAAGCCAATTATACCATTTGAGCATTTTTCTTTTTTAGGGGACAAGAAACGATATGACTATTAGATGGTTAGTCTGGTTAATGTATGGCTAATGAAATACATTATGGGATATATGATAAATACCTACATCTTCAACCTGGGTTTGTTTAGTTGGTGATTTTGTTTTTTCCTCATGCATGTTTTGCATCTTTAAAATCAAGCTCTTGTATTTGTTTCAAAACGTAACAATGTGATGCCCCCCAGTTATAAGTTGGTTTAGATTCGCCCCAGTAACTAGTTCGTTATTTAGGTACCATAAACCATAGTGAAATTGGAGTTATTGGCACCACCTGAACGCTATCGAACGGGGGCCTCACATCGAAATCATCACAGGTCATCCATAAATGGGCCATGTTCCATAGGGAACTGTCAAATAACCAGGGGACTCATCCAAAACAACGAAAGGCCATGACGAAAGTTATAACTCATCACACATAGCAAGTCCCAAGAAGATAGAAATGTGTTTCCAGGATGATGATGTTTCCGCATGTCTTCCAGGTTTGAAAAAATTGTTCTATGCTCGTCAAACTTTTTTGGGGGCGCTATGGTAGAATTTTAGATATATCCATATATCTACTATACACCTATCACAATGGATGTGAGAGTCTTTTCCGGACGACACCCTAGCTCGTCCCCTTAACTGCAGGGGTGGGGTAGTGGCCCGCCTGTCCGCCTAGTGTTGCACCCTATCACAATGGATATATGATATATCTACCACAGTAGATATCTACGGACCATAATTAACTAATAAGAATCATTTGGTATACGATATATTTTTCATGGTAGAGGAGGTTACATGTAGGTTTCCAATTATACATGTATATTATATGTACCTTCTGGTTAGTTAACCTAGCTATAGAAAATCCCCATGTTTAATAGGTATATAAACCATCTATAAATGGGCCATTTTCAATGGCTATGTTGAATAACCAGATGGTATATATCATGATGTTCGATATAATGTTGGAGACCTGACATGTATCTACCACAGCGAAAACTTATCGTTGGATTGATAGTTTAAGACACATTAACTATTCTATCACAATGTCAGTTATTCATCATAGATATCCCCAAACCACAAAACAAACATCATCATGCCACATATATCCCCATAGATAGATAACCTAGATTCTGGTACCATTATTCCATCTACATCTACATCTACATCTACATCTACATCATCATCATCATCATCATCATCATCAAACCATTGCATTTACTTGGCGGCTCATTCCACTGAGGAGGTTACGATCCGCGAGTAGTTCGCCACCATGTACATTGGAATCCATGATTAATCATCATTAGTCATCACAAACTATCACTAAGGATCATTAACTATCATTGCTTGGTGGTTCATTCCACTTAGTAAGTAGGTTATAACCCCAGTTTTCTGAGTGGATTAAGCCTACTTTTCCCACGAACAAAACCAGGGATGAGCCACTTCTACTTAGGATTCCTGGCATGAGCCACCATGGTTAATTAATGATAGTTCTTGTAGGTGTAATAATGATGATAATACCTATTAATAGTACATAAACGTACATAGCCTAGGATAATGTACTATGGATAATACTATTCTTACCTAATGGATCATTAACCATCATTAGTTGTCATTAACTATCATTAATTAACCATCATTAACTATCATTAATCATTACTTGGATATCATTCATCATAATTAACCATTATTAACCTATCATTAGTCCATCATTAACTACATGATAATCCATCATTATCATCATTAATCACCATAAACCATCTTTAGCTACATGATAATCTATCATTAACCTATCATTAATCATCATAAACCTATCATTAACCATATTTAGCTACATGATTAACCATTAGCTAATGATGATTAACCTATCATTAACCATGATAATCTATCATTAGTATTGGATGATAATGTTAATCCATCATTAACCGATCATTAACCCATTCTTTCTCAAACAAATCCTGAAATCATCGCATCATCGAAGCGCAGGCCCCGGAACGCTTCGTCAAGGTCGGCGCCAAGATTCCTCGGGGCGTTCTGTTGACCGGACCTCCAGGTGTGGCCCCTGGTGGCCCCTGGTGGCCCCTGGTGGCCCCGGGAAGAAAAACCCATGGAAAAACCCATGTCACATTTTTTGTATGGGAAAACCATGGAAAAACCCATGAAAAATGGCGAGACCACTGGATTGTTTTTGAATTTTAGGCATCATGATAAACATCCTTTTGTCTTGATGTTTTATCACAGTAGTTTCAAATTCACCATCATCCATGATAAACATCCATTTTCACATCATTAAAATCTATTCACCAACATAATGATAAACATCCTTTTGATAAACCTCAGCTGTGAATCGGCACTGAACTCACTATGTCTGGTGGGGCCTTGGAGATCGGCACAGATCTGATTACGCTTCCCGGCCTGGTCAACGTTAAAAGCGACATGGAGAAGCCATGGAAAAATGTCGAAATCCTTGAATTAGCCATAGAAATAGATGCTTTACCTAGGTTTACCTATTAAAAATGTTGATTTTCCATATAAATCACCATTTTCCCATGGGTTTTCCCATGGTTTTCCCCCCTGGTTTTCCCATAGAAAAATGTTGATTTTCCATCGTTTTTTGTATGTTCACCGGAGGGTAAAATACGTGACGATTTTATTTTGGCTGAGAAATCTCCATCGCCAGCTTTGATGAAATGAATCATGTCCCAAACGAATGTGAGCGATCTACCTATCTCGCAATGATTGGGGAATGGTCAGATACTTACTGGTGCTTAGTAGGGAATGAGAGAATGATCCATAGTCACTAGTAATAATCATCCCATTCCCCTATTCCCATCCATTCCCTACGTTTAGCACCAGTAAGAATTTCTTGCAGCAATCAGGGCCGGATATGTTGTTCTTCTTTTGGCCTGAGAGGCTGCTTGATCCTACTACACAGTGCTTGATCCGCATGAACTTGAAGTTTTGTTTGACCATTTAACCCTGAAATTTCCAGACGACCCAAAAAGTGGGATCTAACATTGAACCAACAAGACATGGTTTATTCAAGAAGAAAGAGTGTGATTTAACCAACAATTATTCTTGGATTTGACTGCCCGCTTCCCACATATATCATATTCTGGACACTTTCTAGCACACACCAATTGTCTCTGTTTTCAAACCCCAGTTGCTTTGTGAGTTTTGAGGTTTTTGTGCCATCCCCAAGTTCCAATTTTGTCGTGAATTCAGTTTTGTGCCCGCCAAAGGGCCATCAATAAGGGCTAATGATGATTAAACAATGGATGGAATGGGGTACCAAATTTTCAGAGAAACCCTTTTTGAGTTTGGATTGGAAGCTCTGATTCTCCATGGGGGAAGTCATAAACAACAACTATTTGTGGGAAATCCCGCACTATATGGAGGTTTACAGCTCAAAAATCAATGGAGGTTTACTAACTGTGATTGCCGTTGATATCCCATGATTTCCCATTTAAAATCCCCTATTAAATCCCATTAAATCCCCATGAAATCCTCATTTTTTCCATGGCATCTCCTGGTTGAACAACGGCCCTTCGCCGTCTCGCCAGGTACGGGAAAGACCTTGATGGCCAAGGCCTTGGCGGGCGAGTCCGGTGTGCCGTTGCTTGGCGAATATCATGCCCCGTTGGTAACCACAATAGTGGGTTATACAATATATAATATACATAGTATGTATGTATATATATATATAGTTATGGTGATAATATTTATTTAGTATTTATACTATAGTATAGTGGTAACCAACTATTATACTATACATATACCCACTATTATAGTGGTATACATAGTATATAGTATATAGTATATATATATATATAGTATATAGTATATAGTATATAGTATATAGTATATAGTATGGTTATGGTAGAGAATATATCGAACTAGTTAATGGGTTTTATTTGAACCATAATATTGGATAATATTGGGTAATCATAATATGTATATAGTATATAGTATAACTATTATTACCCAGTATTATATATATATAGTTATAACATATTACTATACAGTGATATTAATAGGACTATTAAGATGTAATAACGCTTCATAAAAAGTAACATATATCACTATTATGTAAAAAACATATTGATGGATACCATTGGATACAATAGTATCATGTCAATGGTATACCATGGTTAATGTTATTATTATACATAGTAGTGGGTAATAATACTATTAATAGTGATAAACTATGAAGATATAGTATAACTATTGTATATTTGGTAGTATAGTATAATGTAGTATATTAAGGATAAATATGTATATATAGGATAAAGTCCTATATATAGAGGTAATAATGCGTCTAATGATACTTGGTTACTACTGATGGATACCATAGTATTGTGTATAGCATACTATGGTATACCATGACTCATGCTAATAATCCCCTACAGTATACCAATTGATTGTAATTATAGCTGAATAACATTGATTTTAATATTGTGTTTACCAAGATTGTTGACTACAACATATAGTGACCTAATTATTTAACCTCAACTATATTTACCTGGAGTTAATTATCACCGAACCATTTCTACCCATCTTATTGTTTCTAAGTAAGCCACTTTATAAATATCAACTATATATATATATGGAATCTCCCGTCGTTGCCCCGGCTTCGTCTCTGGCTGCCGAGGTTTATCCAGTCTTCTGCCTCGGAGTTCATCGAGCTGTTTGTGGGTGCCTGGGATAAGACGAGAGTGGAAAAAACCTGGAGTGCAATGCCACACCCCTATCCATGTGGGGCCCCATACTTAGCTAAGTTGGTGTTATGGGCTAGGCTTTATAGAAGATATATCTAGAGTTGATGGGGTTTATGAACCAACGTATGATGGTTTATTGGCTTAAAAGGTGAGAAATCAGATGCTGCCAATATTCTATATATATTCTATACCCTCATATGGCCTTCCAAAATGAATAGATCTAACACGAAACTAATCATTGAACTGTTCATAATGATGGGAACTATTCATTATTTTTCCCATATGGCTGCTAATATTCTATACCACCATATGTGTTTCTCGGGGGTATTAGATTCTTATCGGAAAAACGCCACGGTGATTTCATCGAGATGAAAGACACAGGGCCGTGGGGCCCCCAAACGTTATGTAAACGTTGGTTTATAAAGCCCATTAACATCCATGAAAACTAGAAAACTTTCTATATCTACCATAAACCATAGTGAAATTGAAGTTAATTATAAACGCACCAACTGAACGCGATTCCGAACTGTGGCATCACATCAAGTACCACCGCAGATTAAGTGGAACTGCACAAGATCAAACAGGTTATACTTTTAGGATCATCCAGCCTTTTTCGTAGTCGTGTCAGAATATTCAGGAACGCCCCTTAAAACCAGAAATACCATCAAGACCTATTAATTAAACTAACATAGCTACGGAAAATAAGCCTTTTTTGTTGGTAAATCAACTGTAACTGGGCCATGTTCGATGCTAAACCTCTTTAACAAATTCCTGAGGCTAGTGACTTGGTTCTAGTCAGGGGATTCGATCAACTTCTGCATGGCAGTAAGTGCTTACTAAGATGTAACAACTATATTCTATCCCACTTATATATATATAGATATGGATTATATCCTGAGTTATTCTTTGGCAGATGTCACTTTTTGTGGTATCATTTATTTATATTATGGAACATATCGCAATTTAACCTCTAGTAAAACTGTCTGTCACTATATATATATATATATATGCCTCTAGGATTTTTATGGTATCCTTTATCTATTATATATATATAACTATGGGCGGTTATACAGTAAAAATAGATGCACCTCCAAGAGCCATTCAACACATCAAAGATGGAAGGTCCTGGCATAATGTCAGAAAAAAAAACAGATGAACAACATTCAAAAGAATATTTAAAAAAAAAAAATCAACAAATAAAAACATTCTAGAAGTAGATTCAGTAGACTAAGTAGACCTCTGGAACTTTTTCTTTTCATCTTTCGATTTTTCTTTTTTGGAACTCCCCATAATCCGATCCGATCCGAGGTGTTGGTGCCTCCAGGGTCCGTGATATCTTCAAGCAGGCCAAGGAGAGGCAGCTCTGGATCATCGATGGTATGGAAAATCACCATTGTTTAATGGGAAAACCCTGGGAAAACCATGGGAAAACCATGGGAAAACCATGGGAAAATGGTGATTTTGTATGAAAAGATCCACCATTTTTCATGGGTAAATCCACTATTTCGACTGGGCCATTTTCAATAGCTTTTTGTTAGTTTACCAGAGGGTAGTGGTGAATGTTAATGGGTGGTGAATGGTGAAATGGCTGACGAACTCATATTTTTTCAGAGGGGTATACCACCAATCAGATGGTTAAAGGTGGATAATCGATGGTTAATGGTTAATTGTGAATGCCATAGGCATGACTAATGGTTAATGGATGTTAATGGGTTAATGGTTAATGGTGAAGAATGTTTAATCATGGTGGATAATCGATGGTTAATTGTTTTAATGGCTGGTTCATGGATTTAAATAGGGCTAATGGTTAATGGTGATATGGCTGGTTGGTGGTTTGGAACATGAATTTTTATGACTTTCCGTTCAGTTGGGAATTTCCCAATCCCAACTGACGAACTCATATTTTTCAGAGGAGTTGAAACCACCAACCAGATGGTTCGTGGTGGATAATGGATGGTTAATGGTTCATGGTTAATGATGGTTAATGCCATAGGCATGACCGATGGTTAATTGATGTTAATGGGTTAATGTTTAATGGTGAAGAATGGTTATTCATGGTTGATTAGTGATTTCATTGACCCAACGAATAGCTGATGCTCAGATTTTAGTTCCCAAGGATTAGTCATTATCCCATAGTGAATGAAAATAGCTAATGAACAAGTACATATTTAGTTCCTATGACCTAGATAGTTCAATATTCCATAATGTGGGTAAAACATTGTCAAAAACCACCCATGACTGGGAATGGTTTCAATCCCACCTATAAAAATGGTGATTTGGAGGATGGTTGTTTTACCCACATTGCTCCAAATGGTTCATTTGGGAACTAAATCCTTAAAGAATCCTTAAAAAATATGGCTTGATATTTCATACCTGGAGCATATGTAGGTCAACATCCCAACCTCTTTGGTTCATTTGGGAACAACATCTTTGAACAAGAATCCAGGCTTTGTAGGTTGCATCACGTCGCGTGTTCAATGTACTCTGGCAAGATGTATCACCCATCATCAGAGAGCCATTGGAAACTCTGGCAAAGTGACGCCGCTGAAAGGTTGTTTGGGGAATGTTTTTAGGTGGGAAAGGGTTTACAATATGTGTATGTATATACATATATAATTATATATATATATTAAAGGGCTACGCCCTCTGCCCCCAACCCCTGGAGGTTCATGTCTGTGTGAAAAACTGGGTGCACCAACGGATGCTGGTGCAGGTGTGCAATCTGTTTTGCGTCGCTTGCCTTTTTGTGCTTTATTATGGCAACAAACCATCTAAAATGTATCTAATCAAAGGAAGTTTAGAAGTCAAACTTCCGACAAGAGGGACATATTAGAAAAGCAGAGGCGGGAAGAGTCAGAGAAGAGCAGAGAAGAAGCAAGAAGATCAGAGAAGAGTCAGAAGAAGAAGCAAGAAGAAGCAAGAAGAAGCAAGTCAAGAAGAAGGTCAGAAGGAAGAAGATGCAGGTGCGCGAAAGGGTAAAAAAGTCGCGAAGCACTGTGTGTTTCCAATGATCTGTGGCTCCGGAGGGTCGAAAAGTAGGCTCGCTACACAACACTAGACTACACTTACACGGCACTACACTGCACTCAATGACACTACACTACACCACGCTCCACTACAACTACAGCCACAACTACAACTACAACGACACTACATTACTCTACATTACACTACACGACACTACACTAATGACACTACACGACGCGACACAACTCTAGTACAGCACGCAACAGCACAGCACACGACAGTACGCGACATGACCGCGCATTACACTCATTACACCACACCGCAACTACAACTAATTACACTACAGTACAACCACAACTCCACCACAGTACAACTATAGATACAGCTGCACTACACGACACTACATCAAGCAGTTGTGGGTGAGGTGACCACTGCAACCGTTGCAACCATTCAAACCGCGTGGCAGCGAAGGACGGAACGGGCCTCGGGGCAACAGCCTGTAGTGCCCTAACATCGCTTTATGCACCGACAAGAAACTAGCTGTCTTTTTCTTTTGGCCGCCGCCAAGCTTCGAAACGCACGGCTGCCAAATCTTGCTTCTTGCCCCTTGCTGTCCTTGCTGCGGTAATTTCTCCTTTGACGTGCTCCCCTTGCTGCAAGCGGGGTCAGCGGATATTGATATGTATATATATATGATATGTATGTGCATATACAATAATATTCCATTCTAGTCGCACGTTCTTACATTTTTCCAAATAAAGTACAATCTGACAGTATTGGTATGATCCTTCCATGTCGATGGGTTGTCCCACTAAAGCATCTCTACTTACAAACCGTTGACAGTGACTGCCATATTGCTTGAAGCGGGAAAGACCAGTGGATCACTACTCGTTCAATTTGAGCCTGTGTCGTGGCCATGTTGCACTGTGGAGCTGGTGGAAGCTGGTGTTTGATGCCCTTGCGGGTGACAGCGAAGAGCAACTATTCCGACTGCTAGAATTCACTTTAATCTGCACGGTGCAGCTTCGTGTTGTTTCTTCAGAGGTCACAACTATAACTAGGCAGCACCCCTGGGCGGCTCCCTCCCATTTAATGCCCGTGGTTCATTTTGACTACATAGCCATTTGTAGATGGTTGTTCACACATTAATCCCATTACATTCCCATTACGATCCCATTAACATCCTATTAATTATTAAGACCACTTTTAAACACTAGTTCTACTGCGTGACTCGGCAGTTTGGCTACAAAATTATTGCATGGCACTAGGTGTGGGAATTCACCAAGTTCAGTTCTTGTTAATTAAGCACATTTCCCCATATCATATTCATATTTGTTCACATCCATTCCCCTATCTTTCCATCTTAACATGGATTCAAAAAAATATGCCATACAGTGTATTTATATAAACATCCTGTCTATGCCCATTCATCACCAAGTGTCCCAGGTCAATAAATCAATAGGTTTCCATATTTTTGGAGTTCCAGTGAACGTACTATAGATGGTTGCTAGGTCCCGCACCGGGTTTGATTGGATGTTGTAAAGAGTTGGGAATGTTCCCCATGTTGATTGGAGATACAGTTATGGCCCGAAATAACAGTTGTAACCAACTGTAAATAATATGGAATACTCCATAGCATTGTTTATTCCATAGTTCCATTTTACAGTTATAACTATAATTCATAAATAACCCCATTTATGGAATGTATAATCCCATTGAAATAACTTAACTTATAACATAATAAATGGCCAAACAACTGCAACTGTGAGATAAAAGATCCTGGGAGACCAATTTTTGGGATTATCTATCCATGAGGAGAACCAACCCGGGGAATAAGTCTAGGAGAAAGCTCCCTGCATCGTCTTCATCGATGAGATTGACGCCATCGGCCGGCAGCGAGGCGCCGGCATGGGCGGCGGCAACGATGAGCGCGAGCAGACCTTGAATCAGATGCTGGGCATGGGAAATGCCATGGCGAAATGCTGGGAATCTTAATATTCATGGTGATTTTAGATGATTTTATGGGATTCAAGGATTATTTGAATCTAATTATCCCATCTGATGATTTTACTCCCAGGATTAACCATGGGATTTCATGGGATTCAATGGTTACTTGGCTTACTTGGCTTACTGCGGCCATGGCCCGAGATATTTTTAGTTATGTATGATTCTGGATGTCAGTAAGTGACCCCATTTATGGAATGATAACCCCATGTACGATTGAAAAATAAACTGGTACAGGGCTTTAACGAGGTGGATCATAACATGTTATAACTTAAAACTAATCCAACTGGGCTATGTCCTACAAATCATGTTGGGTTATGATAAGTTACAATATGGTGGTTAGCCACTTACCACCTTGAGCTTTGTTAAGGGGACATCTAACATCAGAGACATTGGGATAAACAGCAGAGATTGAAGATTACTAAGGTTTGACGAACAGACATGGGACATGTTTAACCAACATATACAAAGAACTTGATCATATATAACACTGGTTGGTGGTTTGGAACATCAATTTTATTTTTCCAGATATTGGGAATGTCATCATCCCAATTGACGAACTCATATTTTTTCAGAGGGGTAGGTATACCACCAACCAGAAAATGTTATTAACCATCATTAACCATATATTAAACATTATTAACTGTATATTAACCATTAGGGTAGGTATACCACCAACCAGTGTTATAATATGGTCATTTGCTACTTCTGGGCTTGGTGATACGGGGTAGAATCGCATGGAGACATCGGAGAATTAACCAACATGGCTATATGATCAGGACAACATTTTGAGATAGAAACAATAGCATCATGGTTAAGCACGAAACACAGTTTTTTTTTCAGGCTTTATATAGCCGAAAACAAGAAAACGACGGAAAACGCTGGGAGAGCGTTCAGGATATTTTCTCAGCGCCGCTTGGAAACTCCCTGTTTTTTTTAATGGTCGTTTCAGGGATTTTTTCATCGGACTTCATGATGTATTTTCCAGCAAGCCATGCGACTGATTACCGGAGGGTGATATGATTGAACAGTTGGAGATACAAAGAACATGGGAGATATGGACGGGAGATTTGATGGTGGGATAATTGGTTATATCACACTCGATATTACCCTCCGGTAAACGTTTACATAGCTATGGAAAGATCCACCATTTTCATGGGTAAATCCACTATTTCGACTGGGCCATTTTCAATAGCGAACTGTTAGTTTACCAGAGGGTATATCACACTACGATCTTCGGGTGTGTCTAAAATGGGGCCCCAAACAACCATTTTTACAATGATGAGAAACCATCAAATTTATGGGAAACCCACTTGTCTTCGACCATTTGTCGTCTTTTCGGATGGGGTTCAACCTCTGATTTTCCATAGGGGATGTACATCCATAAACAACAGCTATCTATGGGAAATCCACAACTGAATGGAGGTTCATAGCTGCAAAAATCATTGAACCAAATGGGATTGCTGTTGATATTCCATCAATCACAATCCCTATTAAATCTCATGAAATTCGGCTAAATCTCATTACCCTCTGGTAAACTAACAAAAAACTATGGAAAGATCCACCATTTTTAAAATGGCAATGTTCAATAGTTTTTTGTATGTTTACCAGAGGGTAATTCCTATGAAATCCCATGGAAATCCCGTGAAATGCCGCTAAATCCCATCAGTTTTCGCCAAGGATCTTGACCGAGATGGACGGTTTCGAAGGCAATAGCGGGGTGATCGTGGTGGCCGCCACCAATCGTGGCTGAACAGAACGTGGAACTTGGGATATTTCTTGAACATAATAATGGGTTTTAATGGGTTTTAATGGTTTTCTCCAGTGATGCTTCTTGGCTTATTAACCACCAACCAGATAATTGGTTTTAATGGGATCTATATACTAGAATCTATTTGTTTATGTATCTACTTATCTGGTAAACTAACATAGCTATGGAAAATCTTTATTTTTAAGGGGTAAATCCACTATAAATGGCTAACTGGTTGGTGGTTTGGAACATTTAAATTTAATTTGTCCATATATTGGGAATAATAATCCCAACTGACTAATATTTTTTCAGAGGGGTTGAAACCACCAACCAGATAATGGGTTTTAATGGGATCTATAATTCCTATAATCTATTTATTTACTTATCTATCTATCTATCTACTTATCTATGGGTCTATGGGTGTTCCATTATAACAGTTTGCTATTGAAAATTACCCATTTATAGATTATTTACCTATTAAAGATGGTGATGTTCAATGGCTATGTTAAATTACCAGAGGGTAACCCAGTATATGGATCTGTCTGAAAATCTGATATGGTATGATTACCTCAAGGTTTGCTATTTTGGGAGCAAACATTACGATTAAGCAATGGGTTTAGGGGCACCCTATTTTCAAACAAATTCATATATATATATATATTTATATTTATTGAACAGGTTCTATAAGTTATCTACAGATTATCTTCAAGCAAGAGGATTCTTGTTCAATCAAATCAAGTTTAGTGAATCTATATTGGTATAATAGGATTCTATAAATGGGGATCTATAATGTGTTCAACCATAGATATATTTCTTGACTAGGTTTTAATGGGAATTTACTAGGATTCAACCATCATGTTTATCTATTCAATACCTAATCAACCATAATTTATACCCTCTGGTAAGCAAACATAGCTATTGAAAATGACCATTTATAGTGGATTTACCCACTAGAAATGGTGATTTTCCATAGTTATGTTAGTTTACCAGAGGGTAATCGTCGTATAGCTAACCAATCAACCATCATATAATAACATCTAATAGTAATACTGTGGATGGAAGAAATTCTGCACCAGTTGGTAACGATTGGGAGGATAACGGGTTTTTGCCCATCTACCAGCTGGTGCAGGAATTCGCCACTATCCATATCAAAATGGGATACAATGGTGGTAATGGTAGATAGCATTCACACGTGCTAGCATAAAACAATCCATTTTCTGTTTGCTATCGTGCTGTACAATGATTAATCATCTAGAATGGGACTTTGCTATGATTATCACACTTGCTCCCTGGCCCCAGATACGTTTGGGGAGAATTGGCTAATTTTTTTTGCAGGTGACAGCACCCCTTTTGTCCCAGAATTCTGAAGTGCCCATGATGTACCTAAAATAGATAAGTTGGAGCAACTCTGTCATTAACCATGATAAGGAATGCAGATACAGAGGCCATGTCCATCGGCCCATTTTAGGAATTCTTAAGACCTTTTTTGTCAGTGGCTCACACGATCTGGGGCTGCTTGGGATGACGTTTACGGATGTAACTATGGTAGTAACCTCCAACGGTTGGGATATAAATGGATTTAACCACCATGATTATGGTTCTGTACTCACCAAAATTAAGTGGAACATGTCAGTTTGAGTTGAGACCTTTTTCCGGTCGCTTGATTAGATTGAATTCCCTGTTTTGTTTCTCAGTAGTGTGATTCACAACCCCAACTAATGACTAAACCACCTACCCACCTATCCTTTTATCTAAGCTAGCAACAGCAAATCCCCTCCAGTCATAGATGATTTTCCTATATAGTTTCCATCAAAAGTATGTGTTTCCAGTTGTCATCCTCAATTACTACCATTCTCGGACCTAATTAATGGTTCATCCCAGACTGGGACCATCGTTGCAAGGACGGCTTATGTATGGATATGCCTTTGTCAACCATCATTGGAATGTAGCCATTCAACACTCTGCCTGGTATTTGGGCGCAGATTCTGTCTATATGCCCCCACTATTCATTAGTCAAATCAGGTGACATCATTACGTCCTTTTTTGCCGGGGATATGAAAAAAACACGCATGTGTGGATCATATTTGGTTGGTGGTTTCAAACATTACCCTCTGGTAAACTATCATAACTATGGAAAATCACAATTTTTAATGGGAAAACTCACTATAAATGGCCATTTTCAATAGCTATGTTAGTTTACCAGAGGGTACTTTTATTTTCCATTTCATATGGATTGTCATCCTTCCCATTGACGAACTCATATTTTTCATAGGGGTTGAAACCACCAACCAGATATTCTTGTTCCCAGAATTTATTTGGGCATGTGTTGAAACTTAAACAACTTATTGTTTGGTAGGTTAAAAGTTGGATTACCCATCACAAATTTATTTCTCCAGTGATGAAATAATGATGCTTTCCTGGGTTTGTTTGATTGTGACCAGCTGGAGATTCCCATGATATTCTTATGATATTCATTGCTATTCTTATTATTGTTATATGATGTTACATATATATATATATATTCTTATTACTGTATATCATTGTTTTATTCCCATTAAATTCTTTTCCCATTATGATTCACATGATATTTTCAGGCTAACTCCATTATATTTCCATTCTTCTGCTGGGAAAAATCACCGCCAAAAGAAACCGTCATGGCTACCCTCTGGTAATTTAACATAGCTCTGGAAAATGACCATTTACCTGTATAGTTGATTTACCGATGGAAAATGGTGATTTTATCTTTCTATAGCTGTGTTAGTTTACCGGAGGGTATATTATTTATATATATATATCCAACTATAATTATTATATCATCTTATATCCCATTTATACATAGGGTATATAATCTGGTTGGTGGTTTGGAACATGTTTCCATTCAGTTTGGCATTTCATCATCCCAGCTGACGAACTCATATTTTTCAGAGGGGTAGGTATACCACCAACCAGTTTGGAATCTAGAATGAATACCCCTAAAATTGGTGAGTTGGGTTAGGTCAATGAACCACCCATTAACTAGTTCGATATATCTACCATAAACTATAGTTATTGAAGTTATTTAAACCAACTGAACGCGATTCCGAACTGGGGCACCACATTGTAGGGTCTATAATCAATCACCAACTAGAATGGATATGTATATATTATATATATACCCCAACTATAATGATTTATATCATTTTATATCCCATTTATATATAGGGTATTTTAAATAAATCACCATTTTTTCATAGGTCAATGAAGCAGCCTACCTCTCGCCGTCCAAGGTTCCGACATCTTGGACAGTGCCCTGCTGCGCCCGGGGCGTTTCGATCGCCGCGTCGCAGTTTCGCTGCCGGATGTCAAGGGACGGGAACAGATCCTGCAGGTGCACGTGAAGAAGCTCGGAGAAAGCTGGAGACCATGGGAAAACCCTGGGAAAACCATGGGAAAACCATGATTTATATGGAAAATCACCGGAGACTCCCTGGTTTCATAGCTAAATTCATGTAAATTCACCATGTTTAAGTCCCGTAAATCAACTTTTTCTATGGGATGTCATCCAACTAACACTATGATATCCTGGTTGGTGGTTTGGAACATGGCTTTTATTTTCCCCAGTTCAGTTGGGATGATGATCCAATCTGACGAACTCATATTTTTCAGGGGGGTAGGTATACCACCAATTAGCTCTGGTTTAATAGGTAAATTCACCATGCTTAAGTCCGGTAAATCAATTATTTCTATGAACCATTTTCAATAGCTATGTTTAATTACCAGAGCTGGATAGAGTTGGCTGGATGTAGGATGAATATGGATGAATGTCATCCCACTATTAATCTATCATAATTTATCATAATCTATCAGAATCTATCATCCAGTAGTTAGCCACTGATTAACCACGGATTAACATGATTACCCTCTCGTAAACATACAGTTTGCTTTGGAAAAATCACCATCTTTAAGTCCCGTAAATCAACTATTCTATGGGCCATTTTCAATAGCTATGTTAAATTACCAGAGAGTAGTGTGGCTGGATGTAATGGGAAATTTTGCAATAGCAATAATGTAATGGGAACATGATGTCAATGTATTGTAGCTGATTTATCCCATGATCTATAACATCTATATATGTATAGCTGGATGTTGGATGAATGTTATTTTAAAAAAAAAAACACATTTTTTGTTTTTTTACTAGTTTTATGCATATGTTTATCTCATTGCACTAGTTCACCCTCGTAAAAAAGGTGGATTTTGCCCCCCTACTTCTCCCAGTGCTGTGCGTGGGATGAGCTGTCTGACGTGGTCCAGGTCGTCATGGGGCTGTTACTGCTCGCTGGATGGTACTGTAACTATTTCATGGTTACTATCCGGATCTAAAATGGATAACTGGGGGTACCCCCAGTTTAAGAAACCTCTTTTTGTATATATATATTATAGATATAATGTGATGGATGTTCTTGTATTTGATATCCCATGTGAAGAAGTCGACAAATGGAGGTGGTGGTGGTGGTGATGATATCTTTCTATTAGATGTTGTATAAATGATGGTTAGTTGATTAGCTATACAATGACTTTTTGTTTTTTGAAATTGTGGCTGATTAGGAATTTAGTAGGCAATAATTTAAAGTACTGCAATGTAATATAATACAATATAATGTATTATAATATAATATAGTAGAATATAATATAATATAATTTAATATAATATAATATAATATGATACGATACTATCCTTTGGTAATCTATTGGAGATATAACAGTTTTAGTCAATAACTACATATAGTAACACATATTACTACCAGATTGTTAATAACTACAAATGATTTTCACCAAGCAAAAATCATAGAATATGGTATGTAATTATATGAAATAACAGGCTGGTGGTATAGCTGTTTATACGCCTACCATCATATTTCCCCATTGATACTTACCATTTATCATGAAATATGTTCACCATATAATAAATCTGCACATGGGGACATATCATAGTATATTCAGATGATACTATGGCAATTGCCATAGGTAGCCTTAAAGTATTGCCATGTCATGATTTTAGTCATGATGATATCGCCATATGTGCAATGGAAAAAAGTTGGATTGTATACCCATACGGGAGATTGTCATCAATTCATTTTCATAGGGGTTTATATGTATATATATAAATATATATATACCTATGGTGTCAGGATTGGCATGGGATGAATGACCACAAAAACATACCATACTTTGGCAAAAATACACATATGGATTACCATTTGGTTATTCAACATAGCCATGGAAAATGGCCCATTTATAGATGGTTTACCTATTAAAATTGGTGATTTTCCATGGCTATGTTAGTCATAACCAGGTAGAAAATGGCCCATAGAAATAGATGGTTTACCGAACTTAAGAATGGTGGCTCTTTCCATGGCTATGTTAGTCATAACCAGATGGTAATGGGCATACAGCATACACCCATTGATTGTGGCAGCATTTGTTCACCATTAAAATCGGGACAGTATTTTTCAACACCATGGGATGTTGGGGTACATACAATCTCTACATTGCATAAACAAAAGAATAACTTGTGACAAGAAAAATAACTATAGGATATTAAAGTATATAAATCTATAGGTATTTGTTAGATAGACCAACAATATCTATATATTTTTTCGTATCAAACTATAGACTCAGGTAATTATTTGACCCAGGTCAGGATGACCATTTCAGAACCCAGAGGCAACGTGGTCCTGCTGGAGTTTGCAATGTGATGCCCCAGTTCGGAATCGCGTTCAGTTGGTTTAAATAACTTCAATAACATCAATAACTATGATTTATGGTAGATATATATATATATATATCAATATATCAATTTATTCCCAATCGTCTGGAAAAATAAAAAATGTTCCAAACCACCAACCAGATGGTTTATGGTAGACATATCGAACTAGTTAATGGGTTTATAAACCAATTTATAACTAGGGGGGCTCACATTGTAAGATTTGTATGTAGATAGAGTGTGCGCATATTTCCCATGTATACTGTATACTATACTTTTTATATCTAAAAGAACTAGCACATATGCACGACAAATGAACACATGTATTTGATTGAACACGCACATGCCGGATGACCGACACCTAAACAAATGGTGGGTGTTTACCCCAGTTTGGTTAGGTTTCATGGGTGATGAGGGTCATAATAATATAATGGTATAAAACATATCCAAATATGTATCCCCAATCTTGTAGGATAGTTAGTATTCCACAAATCAGAATTTCATTATTCTTAGATCTCATGTTTCTCTATGTGTTTGTGGTTTAATCCCGTTTAATCCCTCATAGAATTGGATGATGGGAAAATGTTAACTGGAACCCCTGATCAATTTGATGGGAATTAAACCCATGGGTTTCCGGTGAAGATTTTCCTAAGAAAACCAATCCATTGAATCCCACGGTTTTCTCCCGTCATTCCATTGGAATGTCAGGATCCTAAAATGGAGGTACGTTAGTACCATATTTCTGGCCATATTTTGTGGTGATATTCCCTGAAACATAGGCCTGAAAAATAGGCCTTATATATGGTAGGTACCTCCAATCAATCGGTTCCTGTTGCATGGCCATTGCAATTACAGTGCTTAAAATGAGGATATCTCAGCAATGATGGGATTACTATTTCCCAAGAAAACCAATCCATTGAATCCCACAGTTTTCTCCCGTCATTCAATTGGAATGTCAGGATCCTAAAATGGATTGAATGGGAATTTCATGATTCTTAAATCTCATAATCTCATGTTTCTCCATGTGTTTTGTTGTTTAATCCCAGGGTTTTCTCCCGTCATAAAAAACGCGTAGGAACTCCGAGGAACAAGAAGCTGGCGGAGGGCATTACCCTGACGGACATCGCCAAGCGCACCGCCGGCTTCAGCGGCGCCGATCTGGAAAATTTGATGAACGAAAGCGCCATTTTGACGGCGCGCAGGAACAAGAAGGCGCGGCGGCTGTGCTACCCTCTGGTAATTTAACATAGCTATTGAAAATGGCCATTTATAGTGAGTTTTCCCATTAAAAAATTAACCCAGCTTTGCAACCCAACAGCATACCTGAATCTTCCACCTACGTCTTTTTTCAGACCCTGTGCCAAAGTCCTGTTTTTTCAGTACCCAGAAAACTTTTCAGGACCTACTCTCAAATTCAGGACCTGGCCATTTTGGGGTATCAATGGTAATGGCAATCATTGGGTGCAAACATGTGAAACCAACATTTGGTGGATATTCAAGCCATTGGCATTGATCCACGCAAATAAAAGCACTCCCAGCCCAAACTCATGGCAAGGCAGGATCAGAATATAGTATATTCCAGAAAGTATGTCAGAATAGATGCCAGATAGGATGCCAGAAAGAATGTCAAATAGAATCTCAGAAAAGAATGTAAGATAGTATGTCAGAACATATATGCCACATATACGTCCAGATGATATGTCAGAAACTATGTCAGAATAGTGTGTCAGGGTGGGGATCACTCTTAGTAAGGCAATTTTGAAAATATATTTCAGGTTCGGATTTTTCAAACTGTTGTCCTTCACGCGCCGAAGCTCCCGTTGAAGGTCAGCATCGCCCCATGTCAACTGGTCCAGTCCCACTTCCATTTCAACAAGTCCAACTTCATCGATTAGGGTGTTGGTTGAATGGACTTGGGACTCTAGCTGGCACGGCATCCCTTGTAACCCTGTAGACACTGTAGTGGGCAAAAAGATTGTAACACACAGAATCAGCATCATTTTGATCAGGCATTCTTTTTGCTAATCCTTTCTCCCTATTACGAAAAATACCCCCAAATGACAAAAACTAGGTGCGATTTCCAATTTTGGGAAATGTCAAATTGGCTAATCTGATTTTTAATTGATCCCCTTGAGGAAACAATTTTAAAAATGAAGGTGCCATGTGAGGGTTTCACCCTCAAAGAATAAAAAACTAGTCAACACCGGGGTGTCTTTTATTGGGGTCCGTCCTTTAAAATCGTCAATTTTAGTTTTTTTAATTCAGGTGTTGGTGCTTTATTTGATACTAGGCGAAAGCTTCGAAATCCTATTCTTGGCAGTATTCTATTTAAAGATTATTTTCATGGATTTTGAAATTAGAAACAAAAAACGGTTTAATCCCTTCCCCCTGTTGCTAAACAGTCGCCCCTTCACCCACCCACCCAAATAACAAACACCTGGAGGAGTTTTTAGTATTGGGGGGGTCTTTAGTATTAGGGTACGAAGCTTCCCCCTAATACTGATAAAAAAAAACACACACACACATATATATATATATATACACATATTTCTATTTCAAAATCGATCAGATTTCTTTCTTTTTAAATCCAATTAAAATATGGCAAACAAGTGGATTCCGAAGCTTAATATCAAATAAAAATACCCAACATAAAAAACTATGTATGTTTTTCTATTTCGAAATCGATTAGATTTCCTTTTCAAAATTAAAAAAAATATGGCCAAAAAATTGGATGTCGAAGCTTTTCCCTTATATTAAACCCTAATATCATTTTGTTTTTTCCTGTTTCAAAATCGATTAGATTTCATTTTGAAATCTAATGAAAAAAACAAAAAATTGATTTTGAAGCTTTCCCCTAATATCAAATTAAAATCCAATTATTAAAATATGTTCAAAAATTAGATTTCGATGCTTCCCCTAATCTTGCATGAAAAATTCCAATATAAAAAACTGAATTTGTTCTATTTCAGAATCGATTAGATTTCCTTGTAAATTCAAATTAAGATATTGCCAGAAATTGGATTTCGAAGCTTTCCCCTCATATTAAACCCTCATATCAAAGACTATTTTTTCTATATCAAAATTCATTAGATTTCCTTTTGAAATCTAATTAGAATATGGTCAAAAATTGGATTTTGAAGTTTTCCCCTAATATTACATTAAAAAACCCTAATATAAAATATTATTTTTTCTTTTTTGAAATCGATTCGATTTCCTTTTAAATTGTAGTAACAAAAATAAAAACAAAAACCGGATTTCGAAATGTTTCCTCTAATATTAAATTACCAGCCCTAATATATTTTTAAAAAAAAACTGTTTCAAAATCGATTAGTTTTCTGTTTAACATATAATTAAGATATTGCTAAAAATTGGATTTCGAAGTTTTCCCCTAAGATTAAATTAAAACCACTAATAAAAAAAACTATGTTTTTTCGATTTCAAGAATCGATTAGATTTCCTTTTGACATCCAGCAAAAATATTGCCAGGAAATGCCAAAAAGTGGATTTCGAAGTTTTCCCCCAATATTATATAAACGTTGTAATATAAAATACTTATTTTTTCGACCTTAAAAGACCCTAGTTTAAAAAATCACCGGGGCTGACTAGTTTTTATTTTTTGGTGGTGAAATCCTGAAATGGGACCTTTCATGTTTAATTTGTTTTTGAAAAGGTATCAATTAAAAGTCAAACTGGCCAGCCTGAAATTTCCCAAAATTTAACGCGGACCCTAGTAAAAGGAATCAATGTAATATTTTAGTATTTAGGGTACGTTTAGTAAAAGGAGGTGGGGATTAGTAAGGTTTTCAATTTAATATAAGGGGAAGCTTCGAAATCCAATTTGGCAAGATTTGAGTTAGATTTTGAATAGGAATTCAATCGGTTTTGAAATATAAAGTTCATTTTTTAAAACGAATGTTTTCAATTTAATGTCAGGGGGAAGCTTCGGAATCCAATTTTGGCAATATTTTAGTTAGATGTTATTTAAAAAATGTTTTCCAATTTAGTTTTTTTAACCAAGGGGGAAGTTTCGCACCCTCATACTAAATACCCACTAAATACAAAAAACTATTCCGTGTGTTCATTATTGGGTGGGGAGGGGCAGACGGTTTATTATGACGCAGGGATTGGTCAGGCATCACTTGCTGGAATTATTGGATTCTTTTGGGATGATTGGTATGATGTTTAGTCAGGCATGGTTCCCTTCAGTCATGCACGATTTTTGCAAAAATCCTATTTAGGCACGACCCCAAAATCCCAGCCCGGCAAATTCCGGCCCGGGCCCGGCAAATTCCGGCCCGCGCCCTGCAAATTCCGGCCCTGCGTTTTTCCAAAATCAGGCAAAACCAGTAAATCAGGTATTAAGTCAGGTGTAGTTACCTTTTAAGTCATTAAGGCTAGTCAGGCATGGTTCCAGTGGGTACCTTTTAATTGTGAAGGCTAGTCAGGCATGGTTCCCTGAATTCAGGGGCATGGGTACCTTTTAATTATGAAGGCTAGTCAGGCATGGGTTCTGTTAAGTCAGGCGTGGGTGGGTACCTCTTAATTATGAAGGCTAGTCAGGCATGGTTCCCTTAAGTCGGGTGTGGTTACGCTTTAAGTCATGAAGGCTAGTCAGGCATGGGTACCTTTTAAGTGATGAAATCTGAATCAGGCGGAGCTCCTATTCTAAATGTGTTAAATCCAATTGTTCAGTGTGGAAAATCGTTTTTTTTGGCTGGTCTACGGGCAAACCCTGTGTCTTCCAATACCATAGCGTGCTGATGTCGCTTGCCTGCATAATAGTTAAGGCCAAAGCTTAGGTCATCAGTGTGATCCTGAAATGGCGCCACGACCAAGATGACATGTGTAAAATGGGCCCTGGATTAACAAAGGCTGACTAATGAATTTGGAGGATGCCACTAAAGTATGACATGTAATCACTTTTGAGGAGCACTCTATGGCACGCAGCGCGCGCAGCCTGCTTTACGGTTTAGCGTTTGAAAGTTTTAGGCTTTGCCTCTATGGCACGCAGCGTTTGAAAGTTTAACCGTTTACCTCTATGGCAGGCTGTGCGCGCAGTACGCGTTACGGTTTAAAGTTTGAAAGTTTTAGGGTTTATGTGTGTGGCACGCAGTGCGCGCAGCGCGCATTAGGGTTTAGGGTTTGGAAGTTTTATAGTTTATTTTATTGCATGCAGCGTGCACAGCGTGGGTTGAACTTTAGGGTTTCGAAGTTTTAGGGTTAACCTCCATGACACGATGGTTTAGGGTTTGGAGATTTTAAGGGGTACTTCTATGGCACACAGCGCGCGCAGCGCGCGTTAGGGTTTAGGGTTTAGGGTTTGGAAATTTTAGGGTTTACCTCTATGACACGAGAGTTTCAGGTTTGAAGATTTTAGGGTTTATTTCTATTGCACAAAGCGCGCGCAGCGCGCATTAGTGTTTAGGGTTTGAAGGTTTTAGGGTTTATCTCTGGCACGCAGCGCGCACAGCACGCATTAGGGTTTAGGGTTTGGAAGTTTTAGGGTTTATTTTATTGCATGCAGCGCGCACACCGCGGGTTAAACTTTAGGGTTTGGAAGTTGCATAACACGATGGTTTAGGGTTTGGAAATTTTAGGGTTTACTTCTCTGGGACACAGCGCGCGCACCGCGCATTAGGGTTTAGGGTTTGGAAGTTTTAGGGTTTACTTTATTGCATGCAGCGCGCGCAGCGCGCATAGAGTTTAGGGTTCGGAAGTTTTAGGGTTTCAAGGGTTCCAAGGTTCCAGGGTACCAGGGTCCCACGGTTTCAGGGTTCCAAGGTTTCCAGGGTTCCAAGGGTTCCAAGGGTTCCAGGGTTTCAGGGTTCCAGGATCCCAGCAGGGTGCCAGGTGTGCAGGGTTGCAGGGTTCCAAGGTTCCAGGGTTCCAAGGTAGCAGGGTTCCAGAATCCTTGAGGGTTCCTGGGTGCCAAGGTTCCAAGGTTTCAGGGTTCCACGGTCGCAGGGTTCCGGTTCCAGGGTTCCAAGGTTTCAGGGTTCCAGGGTACCAGGGTCCCACGGTTTCAGGGTTCCAAGGTTTCCAGGGTTCCAAGGGTTCCAAGGGTTCCAAGGGTTCCAGGATCCCAGCAGGGTGCCAGGTGTGCAGGGTTGCAGGGTTCCAAGGTTCCAGGGTTCCAAGGTTGCAGGGTTCCAGAATCCTTGAGGGTTCCAGGGTGCCAAGGTTCCAAGGTTTCAGGGTTCCACGGTCGCAGGGTTCCAAGGTTCCAGGGTTTCAGGGTTCCAGGGTTCCGGGGTTCCAGGGTTCCAGGGTTCCAGGGTTCCGGGGTTCCAAGGTTTCAGGGTTCCAGGGTTCCAGGGTTCCAGGTTCCAGGGTTCCAGGGTTCCAAGGTTTCAGGGTTCCAGGGTTCCAGGGTTCCAGGGTTCCAGGGTTCCAGGGTTCCAGGGTTCCAGGGTTCCAGGTTCCATTCCGGATTTTGAAGGCTGCAAGTCCCCGCGAGCCAGCCCCAGCCCTAGAGATTGAAACCCAACAGGCCCTGCTGTTGGGAAATAGTGATTTTCCATAGTTATGTTAGTTTACCAGAGGGTAACTATTAGCATGGTTGGTCTCCCAGGAGAACTTATCTCATAGTTAATTATGGTTAATTATGATTAATTATGGTTTAATCCAGTGGTTTTTCTGGTGATCAATTATGGTTAATTCTGGGACATTGTAATGATAAAAATGTTAGCTAATGATCCCCCAGTGAAAATAATCAGCTACAGCCCCATTCTACTTAGATGGGTGGGATTAGCTAACTAGTTAGTAAGTGGGTTATAAATGAACCAAACATATCCCAATTATAAGCCATAAAAACTAACTACTTCGCTAACTCCATGGCCCATCTAAGTGGTGTGCGAGTCGTGGCGGGCGAGTTGTGGGCTGAAGTTGAAGTTGGGTTGGTTGGGTTGGGTTCCGGTTTTCATGTGGATAAGTTTTCATGAAATGTGTGATGGGATATTGCAAAAACTATAATCTAATACTAATATGTAACCTGGGTTTTGCTGAGTCGCTGATTCTATATGTTCCTAATGGGAAAATGTTCCAGGAATGGGCGAAGAAGGGTTTACTTTTTGTTTGAAGCCCCTTGAGAAAGTCCAAGTTAAGCAGATAATCGAAAATTAATGGATTGGGATGAATCGTGGAGTGGTGATTATGACGATGACAACACGCAACAAGTGGGATGGGAAGTGTAGGTGTAGGCGACATGATGGCAGTTTGTCAAAAAAATATGGGGGGTTAAGTATGAAAAAAAAGATGTTACCAACAAAAATTAGAGGATGACCTTTTCTTTATATGTTGAGTATACCTTCTGGTAAACTAACATACAGTAACTATGGAAAATCACCATTTTCAATGGGTAAATCCACTATAAATGGTATCCTCTATAGCGGATGTTGAGTGGGGATAGCCAGAGATTTGCAAACCAATACAGAGGTGTTTCTCATGTGATGGTCCTGGAAAACAAAAAAAAACGGGGCTGGGATTTGAATGTCCTGGAGGTATGTTGGTTTAAATTCACGGAGATTTCACCTCTTGGATGATATGTATATATATATACATACATATATCTTACCTATGGTTTCACAGGGGTTTTGATAACCCATAGGATTGCGAAACCTACAGGATGGTTTTCTCCAGTGATGTTTCTTGGTTTATTATCCCCATTGACCATAGTTATATGTACTGGTTGGTGGTTTGGAACATGTTTTTATGTTTCCATATATTGGGAATGGTAATCCCAACTGACTTTCATATTTTTCAGAGGGGTTGAAACCGTCAACCAGTTTACCATAAACCATGGTTCAGCCACTTATATCTCAACTGAACGCTATCTTGGGGGCCTTGTATGAACCAACCACAATTTATGTGGGCTGCTTCAGGCCATCACCATGGACGAGATCAACGATGAAACTCGGTGCCAGATTGCTATGGGCTATAGTTTAATATGAGTTTGTATAAGCCATGGGAGTAAACATGGTAATGAATGGAATGAACATCTAATATTAATGTTTAAGAGTTTTAGTGAATAAGTTGATATATCAGCCATGGATTCCAGTTTTTGTTTCATTTAAATCACTCCAGTCAATGGTAAATTTACATTTCTCAAAATGTAGAAGTTTCATGATGGTTCTGCTTCTCATTAATGCTAGTTGCCCAGAGGGTACGCCCCTTTAGCATGGATAGATTGGATGTTTCTCATGTTGTTCTTGGACATTTCTCGAGCTGTTTCACAAATCTTCTGAATACCATCATTCTTAGTTGTTGAAATCTGGGAGCTTCACAGGGGTTGTCTCAAAATCAGGCACTCCATCATAGGTTCAAAACCGATTGCTGTATTATCATATTTGGGAGAATAACCATCCATTAACCAGCTGTTTTAGGTTTTCCGTTTTGTACCAGCTAGGGTTTTGTCATATAACCATATGTTCACCATTGTAATGGTTATGTTACATCTGGGACGAAGCCCCTATTGAGGCTATTTGATGCCAACCACAAGTGGCAAATTCCGGCAATATCTAAGTGCAACTCCATAATTATACTTCACTCTTACTTCACTCTTAAGTTTGAATCTTGCGTTATAAATATTCCCATTTAAAACATCATTGTGCATCATGTTGAACCATACATTTTTCGTCAAAAAAAACATGCTTCATCCACCTAGATAGAGATATCTATCTACCATAAAGCCTTAACTTACCCTCTGGTAATTTAACATGGCTATTGAAAATGGCCATTGAAATAGTGAATTGTCCCATTAAAAATGGTGATTTTCAATATAAATCACCATTTTCCCATGGTTTTCCCATGCTTTTCCCATAAAAAATGGTGGATCTTTTCAACCACCTAAAAGCATGCGGCGAAGTGACGGCACCGGCCGAGGCGACGGACCGAGTGATTGCCGGCCTGGAGGGAAGGGCCTTGCAGGACAACGCCTCGAAGAAGTTGATCGCCTACCACGAGGTGAGGAAAGGGTTCATGGGGAGAACATCCAGAAGTCGATTTCGGAGGTTTGTGTCTGAAGATTTTGATGGGAATATATATATATATATTTATATCATATATATATATATATCATATATTTATAAATATATCATATGCATATATATATACACCACTCACACACACATATATATATATATATATATATCACATGCATACATATATATATAATACATAAACAGAGATTATATATATATATGGACGAATAACGAATGTATGATTATTTTTTGGAACCTGATTTTTTTAACCGTTGTGGATGGAATGGAGGTGTTCCCAGAAATTTCAGATCCAGATGTTGCAGCATGGAGGCACCTCCTACAAGGTGGTGCCCCCCAGTGATGTTTTTGGCACCAACTGAGCTCGGAAAAACGGTGGGCACCACCTGGTAGGATCTTCAAGGTGGTGGTGCCCCCAATGGAATCGCGGATTGTTGGTGATGGGATTTCATGCGGATTGCAGATTGAATATGGAATATGTGTAAGGCATTTTTAGATGTTTCTTTTATAGCTTTTTTTGGTGACTGCTAATTATAACGTTTGGGTTTACGGTAGATATAGAAAGAACTCGTTGATGGGGTTGATAAGCCCTCAAACACATCCGGGGGCACCACCTTTTAGGTTTGTACACTTAATGGGCAAGTCCCAAGTTTGGTTGAAGGCTTATGGAAACTGGTCAACACCAGCAGCTGTTGAATCTTCCCCAATTTGGTAAATCGCTCAGATTCTTCAGTTATAACTGGACATTGCCCCATTTTTCCAAACAAAAAACAAGTGATAGAACTGGACCCTATACTTACCCTACTTACAAAAAAGGTGAACTGACCTACTTAGTAAAGGGAGCCACCAACCTGCGCACTTGTTGTGCCCCACGTCACGTCGCCATAGGCCGGACATGCGATCGTGGGTACCTTGCTGCCATACCATGACCCAGTGACTCAGCTCAGATGGGTGGACAATTACCATCTGGTTCTGACATTCACAGTTCGCCATGGAAAGATCCACCATTTATAATAGGTAAACCATCGGAAAACCATGGGAAAATGGTGATTTATATCGAACATCACCATTTTTAATAGGTAAACCTAGGTAAACCATCTATTTCTATGGGCCATGGCTTCCATGGCGAACTGTTAGTCATAACCAGATGGTAATGAAAATTATGGATGATTTATGGTACAATGTGGGGCCCTTGAGTGATGTTTGTTGGTTTAGATTCGCCCCAGTAACTATAGTTATAAATACCATAAACCATAGTTATTGGAGTTATAAACCATAGTTTATGGTACTACCCTCTGGTTATGACTAACATAGCCATGGTATAGATGACCCATAGAAATAGATGGTTTACCAAACTTAAAAATGGTGGATCTTTCTATGGCGAACTGTTAAATAACCAGATGGTAATTCTCATTGGGTAACAAAATTGTGGTGGAAAATATGGGGATGTCAGTGATAAAATTCCGCATTTTTTGGTAAATTTGTTGGTTTTACTGTGGAAAAATACTGCTAAAATACTGGTTGGTGGTTTGGAACATTTTTTATTGTCCATAATATATGGGATATTCCTTCCCATTGACTTTCATATTTTTCAGAGGGGTAGGTATACCACCAACCAGAATATGTTGCTCTCGAATGAGCGACTAACTGTTGTTACTCACTGTGATGTGGCTATCCCGAATGCTACTAATCCCAGTTCTAAGAGATCCACCACAGCACGTTTTTTTTGCCACAAGGATTCACCTTGGCATATTTTAGCAACATTCAAGTGGTCGATTTGTTAACTCTGGAGAGAGAGAGAGAGAGAGCGAGAGAGAGAGATATATATATTTATTTATATATCATGGGGATATTTTCTCAAGATCTGGGCTTGGGAACTCTGGAGATATATCATGGGGATATTTTCCAAAGATCTGGGCAAATTTTCAGAAAAACCGCGCTGACCATCACTTGATGAACATATTTGAAGGTGAAAAAAGTAGTATTTCACCATGGATTTAGAACTGCAGTTTAATCTACAAAGTTTCAAACTGCACTGAAGTGGCCAAAGTGTTCAAACTTGCCCAAATCTTGATTCTTGCTGAAATCTCCATTTTCCGCGCGCTTTGTTTCGTTCGAGGTGAACAAGGTCACCTTGGTCCCCCGTGGCCAAGCGAAAGGCTTGACGTGGTTCACCCCTGGAGAGGATCAGAGTCTCATCTCTGCCGCCATGCTGAAGGCCGTCCCGTCGTTGAGAGAATTCGATTACCCTCTGGTAAACGGACTAACAGTCCGCTATTGAAAATTGCCATAGAAATAATAGTGAGTTGTCCGCATTAAAAATGTTGATTTTCCATAGTTTTTTGTATGTTTACCGGAGGGTATGTGACCTGAAAATTGGAAAATGATCTGGAAACAGATGGTTCAATCCCAGGGGGCCGTCGGGAAAGTGGGATGTTAGCAACCAGCTAACATGGTTATGACATGTGTAGTACATGACTGTATAATGTAATTATATGTATATGTATATTACCCTCTGGTAAACTAACGTAACTATGGAAAATCACCATTTTTAATGGGAAAACTCACTATAAATGGCCATTTTCCATAGCTACGTTAAATTACCAGAGGGTATATGTATGATATAATATGATGTTTGTGTAAATGGATCTATTTGGGGATGATTCGGGGTACCCCCATTGTAGGAAAATTGAGGCTTGAGTTGGCTGTGTTTCTGGAACTCATCGTGTTCCAAACATCAAGACATATCAAGAAACCATATTCCATCATATTCCAAGCTGAACGTTCAAATGAAAGTTATTCAAAGAACCCTCAATCAGCTCACCCCATCATCGAACAAGTTCCAAAAATCCTCGAAAAATCAGATGTTTCAAAAAAAATCACCCAAAAAAAAAATTGTTCGAGGGTTTTCGCATGTAACTTGACCCGAAAATGCCGAAGATCCTCAATTTACTGTACCCATCTTTTTCCCCAGGGTTTTCGTCATGGTTTTCATCCGGAAATGGCGAACATCCGTCATGGTGGTGAACTATCCACGGATCGTAAGTGGTAAAGGTTCACCCCAGTTTTTTGAGTGGACTAAGCTTACTTATCCCATAGAAAGAACCAGGGATATAACCTAGTAAGTGAGATGAGCCACCAAGTAGGGATTTTACATGATTTAAGTATATATATATATAACAAATAACGATAGGGATGTCACCAACAAACATAGGGATTTTACATGATTTGACATGATTCAACTAACAACGATAGGATTTGTTCCCCTTTTGTATGACCTCCAGGTCCCACGTTTCGGACTCTCCAGGCGCGCATCGCCGGGGCCCTGGGCGGCCGGGCAGCGGAGCAGCTGGTCTTCGGTTCAGGGCAGGTGACCACTGGGGCGGGTGGCGATCTGCAACAGGCCGGGAATCGGATGGGATGGACATGGACTGATGGATCGGATGATGGTTAATGATGATTATAATAATGGTTAATAATGGTTAATGATGATTAACAATTGTTAATGAAATATCATTGGATATCATGAAATATTCCATTAATGTCAACCCTGGATTAATAAACCCCGTTTACGGCTGTGTGTAATTGGGAGGGTACCATTTAAGTATTAGATGAAATGACTATTGGAGGAGTACCCCCCTAATTAATAAACCTAATAGACCATGATTTAGCAAAATCCGGGGTTGACATGAGCCACATTACTATGTTACCATTTTTGTCCTCTGTAGATCCCATGAATGTCCATGATGTCCAGGTTTACTGGTCACTATGTCACGGTGGGTGCCCAACAATGGCATTTTTACCATCCATGACTGGGATGGAGTTGGATGTGATCGGAGGAGTACCTCTGCTGTTTTTTCTCTATGTTGAATGGTGATTGATAGATAAATAAGTGGTAGAGAAAAATGTTAAGTGTTATATGTATAGTGAATCCATTACACACTGATTACATAATGAAGATTAACCACTGATTGATAGATATGGATAGTTAATCAGTGGTTACCCTCTGGTAAATTAACTCGTTGACCCTGAAAATCACCAATTTATAGTGGAAACTAGTCTTCCAACCCCGATGACTGTCAGGGTCTATGTTAATTTACTGGAGGGTAATCAGTGGTTAATTACTGGATGACAAATAAACAGTGGAATGATGTGGGATGGCATTGATTAGTGAATATGAACTGATTATGCTATATTAACAACCATCAACTTAGCTACTGAACGGGGGTCGCCACTTTGTATATGAATCAACCCAGTTTATCATATATATATGTATATGTATATATATATGTGGCGCTAGATGAAGGATTAATAGATATTAATAGTCAATAATCAATTAATGGCTGGTTGGTGGTTTGGAACATGGCTTTCGTTTTTCCATTCAGTTGTGAATTTCATCATCCCAACTGACGAAGTCATATTTTTCAGAGGGGCTGGTTTACCACTAACCAGATGGTCATTAATAGTGATTACCCTTTGGTAAACTAACATAGCTATAGAAAACGGCCCATTTATAGTTGATTTACCCATTCAAAATTGTGATGTTCCCATAGTTATGTTAGTTTACCAGAGGGTATATTATATATATATATATTTACATATTTATCCCAACTATATTGATCATATCATCTTATATCATCCATAGTGAATCAGTGGTTAATAAGTGGTTATTTGATGTGACTATATTGACATATATATATATACATATTAATAGTCAATAATCACTTCATGGTCATTAATAGTGATTACCCTCTGGTAAACTAATATAGCTATAGAAAATTGCCATTTATAGTTTATTTACCTATGAAACCTGGTGATTTTCCATATTTTTGTATGTTTACCAGAGGATATTCCATAGATTTTTCGAAATCCGGGCTTAATTATCTCCAAATGGCCGCAAGATTCAGGTTAGTGAATTATTATAATTCAACTAGATTAATGGTCACTAATAGTGATGAATAGTTTTCATGATCGATCACTAATCCCATCCCTCTAACAATCTAAGCACCCGCTGGCACCCGCTGAATAGTCCCCCTGGTTACAACTTTTGTTGGTTAAATATTCACAAACAACACCAAAGAACATATGAAACATATAAGGTTGGTAAGCCACCATCTAGGACAACATCAAATTATATGTTATCATATACAGTAATATTATATGGCCATTATAATTATTTTTGTCATATGCTTCATGGCCATTTTTTATGTCTCATAGCATGCGGTTTTTGTCCCTATGAAGCCACTATCTATCCAGTTTAGATCCTATTATTGTGGGTTAAGCCCTCCACAGATATCATGTCCCATATGTGTTTGTCCACTTCTTTGGTTATATCCCATTATCATGTTAGTAAAGCAATAATAAAGTTGTTTGCTTAATAAGTGGGTTGTATGAACCATCAAACTATGGTTGGATTATTATTGCTTTATCATTAATTATTCATAAGATTCATAAGTTATTGTCATCATATATCCATTATAAATCATATTGTTGCTTAGGTCCTCTATTTATAGATAAGACATCCCATTGTATCATTATTTTGCCCACAAACCACCATCTAAAATATAGGGACCCGACTTGTCACCGCAGGTAGAGCGAATGGCACGTTCCATGGTGACGCAGTTTGGCATGTCCGAGGCCGTTCGACAGTTGGTCGAATCGGACGGGAGTACCCGATTTGTGGAATGACAAGCCCAGTTATAACACTTACAACCATATCTGGTTGGTGGTTTGGAACATTTTTTTTTTCCATATATTGGGAATAATCATCCCAACTGACTTTCATATTTTTCAGAGGGGTAGGTCAACCACCAACCAGATATAAAAATGACTGGCCAAGGAAGAGTATGCATTTTTACCAGCAAACATGGTGTATTCAAGGGGATTCAATCGTATTCAAATCTGATAATCTGATGGTTACAGTCTGTGATGATCACTTGGGATAGTTGATGAGAACCTACCAGATTTGTGTATTACGGTAGTACCAACAAGAACAGGGAACCATGTCAGGATCTACAAATCAAACAATTCGGGCATTACCAGGTAGTCCGCAGTTTGGTGGCTAAGTTCGTTAAAAAACTACCTAAGTTACTAAGTCTAATTTAGATAAGATATGTCACTACTGATTGGTGATTTGGAACATCAATTTTATTTTTCCATCATATTGGGAATGTCATCATCCCAACTGACGAAGTCATATTTTTCAAGATGGTAGGTATACCACCAACCAGACTAGGTTTTATGGTAGATATGCTGAACTAGCAAAAAATGTTGCTGTGAAACCTAGGTGGAATTTTGAATGAAAAGCCCTGCAATACGCCTTGAATGTCACGGCCGTTTCGACATGCCTTGAATCAGATTGAATGACATTATGTGATTATATGTAGAAATATAGAACAAGGTGGGGCCCCATAAATAGCTAAGTTGATGAATTAAATTTCAATGACTACGCTTCAAAAAGGAGGTCTAGATTTTGGAGGTTAACTTGAAAGGGATGGTTGGATCTAAATATCGCCGGATTCTGAGTCTGTTGAAACATCACAGGGTTTTTCGGGGTGTGCACCAGAATAACGTGCGAAAATCTATGAAAATAGGTTTTTTTCGGATGCCCAGCTTTGTCTTATAAAGGGATACAACTAGCACAACTTCAAATTGGGCTGCTATGATTTCACACATCTTGTGAATTGTGGTTGTAGCCGATCCAGAATTGGTTGAAGGGAAAGCAACCCCTATCTGGTTGGTGGTTTGGAACATCAATTTTATTTGTTCACCCAGTTGGGAATTTCATAATCCCAACTGACGAAGTCATATTTTTCAGAGGAGTAGTTATACCACCAACCAGATGGTCATTAATAGTGATTAATTGATTAATAGTTAATTAATGGTCATTAATAGTGATTACCCTCTGGTAAACTAACAGTTCGCTATAGAAAATGGACCAGTCGAAATAGGTGATTTACCCATGAAACATGGTTGTTTCCATAGCAAACATGGTGATTCCCAGGATATTTGTAGTTAAAAAACCACCAAGCAGCTTTTTCCGTCGGGCAACTTTTCCGCGGTTTCCATCTATACAAACCAACATCCATGGGTATTGGTTCTATGGATTCACGCGCAAGCCCTCCTCTTTCACGTGAAATTTCAACATGAAACAGCTCTATTTCCCATGACGCCCCTATAGTTTACGGTAAAATTCCCATGCAACCCTGCGAAAGTGCGGGAGAAATAGGTTTTTTTTACATGTAGTTACCATGATGTTTACCCTCCGGTAATCTAACAGTTCGCTATTGAAAATGGCCCATAGAAATAGTTGATTTACCTATTAAAGATGGTGATTTTCCATATAAATCACCATTTTGCCATGGTTTTCCCATGGTTTCCCATGGTTTTCCCATTAAATTACCATGATGTTTATCAATCAAGATGAATCTCCCTCTCGCTTTCGGCACGCTTTGGAACCGAGCGCAGGTGGGCTCCATCGCCATCGACGATGGAGGCTTTATGGGGCCCAATTATTCCGAGGACAGGAAGTGCACGGAGACGTTCTTGGAAAGATGTATAAAGTGGCTAAGAATCCATCTAAATCCCTGAATATCCAATTTTTTAACCATGTAAATCCATCTAAATCCCCGAATTTCCCATTTTTTTAACTATGTAAATCCATCTAAATCCCCTAGAAAGAGGATGTATTGCGGGTAAAGCAACGTTATGTTTGCCCATTTGGGGATGGTGTAAAATAATCCCAAAAATGGGTGATGACTTGGGGGATGGGAAACATGGCATTGTTTTAGCCACATGATTGTGGCTAATACAAAGTGGGGCCCCCTAGATAGCTAAGTTGGTTTATAACTCCAATAACTACGGTTTATGGTACTTATAACTCGTTTCTGGTGCTTATACACCAACTCATGACTAGGGGGGCCCACATTGTAGGTATGTTTAGGTGGACAATGGCCATGGATTATTATGGAATATTAGCCATGATTATTGTGGACATGGATTATTCTAGATGGATTATTAGCCATGGATTATTGTGGACACTTATTTTACCATGTAAATCCATCTAAATCCCCTGGTAAACATACAAAAACTATGGAAAATCACCATCTTTTAGTTCGGTAAATCAAGTATTTCTATGGGCCATATTTTCTATAGCTATGTTAAATAACCAGAGGGTAAATCCCCTAAGTGGATTTATATAATAGGTCTGTTTTTTGTGTTTTTTTGCAGGTGATTTTTCGCTGATTTTACCGGCAAATCCACCATGACGAATCCAAGTTGATTGACGGAAACATTCTTCGAAGAAAGAGGATGATCTTGGGATTTGCATCCCACTTAATGTTACAAAGTGGGGCCCCCGTTCGATAGCTAAGTTGGTTTATAGCTCCAATAACTATGGTTTATGGTACGCAAATAACGAACTAGTTTCTGGGGCTTATAAACCAACTTATAACTAGGGGGCCCCACTTAATGTTAGTAATAAGCTTAGTACATGCCAGCTATATTGTAATTGGGAAATTATGGTCATGTGGGTTATAGGTACTACGATATGATATAAGTTGATATAACTGTATTTGGGGATGTAGTTTACCAGATGATTATTTTGTTTTTGGGGAAATGATGGTTATTTTGGAATCCCATCCTCCTAGTCCTAATCTTAGACATCCCATCAATGGGGACTGTTGTGGAAATCTTAGACATCCCATCAATGGAAATCTTAGACATCCCATGTTCTAACCTATCCTAATCTTATTTTGGATTTCCGCCCCATTTTTCGAATTGTCCAACTTGAACTGTTTAAGCTCATTTCGGAATGCTGAATATACGAAAAATCATCGACGATGGGGGAAATTTTCACATTGCCAGCTTTGATTCCCAGATCTTGGGGGTGATTCTGAAAGTATGATTGGAAATTACCCTCTGGTAAACATACAAAAAGCTATGGAAAATCACAATTTTTCATGGGAAAATTCACTATTTCTATGGTGATTTTCTATAGTTATGTTAAATTACCAGAGGGTAAAGCTGGCAATGGAAAAAAATCTCCCTTTTTCATCATGGGGCATCCGGGCATCCATTCATATTCCTTGATTTCAGCTTTGATTGCAGCAATTTTCATTGGAATATCCCATATGCTCCATGTATAGTATATTTACCATTATTTACCTACAAAACTGGGCCATAAAAATGGGGTAAATGATGGGATTCATATTCCAGCACCATGGAGCATATGGGTATGATCATGGGATTTTGGGGCATCCGATTTTCTGGTTCCGGTAGCCTGGTAGTCTTTGGCCAGCAAAAAATGGCGCAGATGAGTCAGCAGATGATCTTCCCAGCTAAATAACCTAGTTTGGATAGGGGGCAAAGGAGGGGGGTTCGAAGTTATAATCGATGGTTAATGGTTTTTAATGGCTGGTTCATGGATTTAAATAGGGTTAATGGTTAATGGTGAAATATCTAGTTGGTGGTTTGGAACATGAATTTTGTGACTTTCCATTCAGTTGGGAATTTCATCATCCCAAGTGACGATTCGTCCATCATTTTTCAGAGGGGTAGGGCTCAACGAGCAAGCAGAATGCCATATGACTTGAGGGATCGACTTCCTGCAAAAGAAGCCTGGCTACAGCGGGTTAATAAATCACTCGCCCGCGTGAAGAATCACAATCGTTTCCCTGGATAGCATATGATTTCCCCATGATATCACTATTACATCATCATTGTGACCACAGATATAGAAAAATTAGAAAAGCAATCTGTGCCCGTGTCAGTGGGAATTTACAGGTCTATACGGTCTATCTAACTTTGTGAGTTCGTATAACTCTATGTTACTCATATATGTATATAATTATATAATATATATATATAATTATATATTCACCATTCAAAACATACATAGTGTTACTTTTATTGATATTTTCAGTATTATTGTTTAGCATATTCTTGGTGGGAATTTTGAAGGCCTTTTTCCGGAGAAATTTGGGCCGTGGTTTTCGTGGGGAGGAGCATAAAAAGTATTAGATGTGATTTGGGATTAAACTTATTTGATTTGGGATTGAGGCGTGTTGCTTGCTTACTTGATAAATGGATGATTATTTGCACCCTTGTGGGGTGCTTGGCCTGGGTTAGGGACACACAAGAAAAAATCGAGCCGATAATCGGGACCCAGCGCAGGCATGCTGCGCAGAGTGCAGCTTGGAGGGTCGGGTAGTGCATTTCATGCTCCATCCTTGGCATTCATCGTTTCCCCAGCGTTGCGCGCCTCTTTTTTGTTCAGGACCTGAGCAAGAAGATCGACGAGGCGATTAAGAGCATCTCGGATGAGTGCTATCTGATGCTTGGCGCGTTACCGGTGTGCAGGGGTTGCTGGATCCGGGCCCACAGGGAATCTAATGCGTTTCATACAGGAAGTCGGAAAATGAGGAACGAACAAATAGACTATACTGGTTGGTGGTTCGGAACATGAACTTTATGACTTTCCATTCAGTTGGGAATTTCATCATCCCAACTGACGATTCGTAATATTTTTCAGAGGAGTAGGTATACCACCAACCAGTATAGAATCTAGAATGAATACCCCTAAATCGGTGAGTTGGGTTAGGTCAACGATTGGATAGATGGTTGAGATTGATCTATAGATTGGGACAACCGACAAGTTCTTAGGGATATAATATAATTGATGAGGATACGATGGGGACAAAATGAGATCTAATTCAACTGTGTATCAGCAATACTCAGTGAAAAACAATGCCACTTTGCCATGAAAAAGTGAGAAAAAATGTGGGTGAATCATGCTATCATTTTTTGATGGAGATATGATCAACATTGATCAACAATACCATATCCATCCATATCCCATATGCTCCATGTATGGAATATGTACCATCATTTACCCCATAAATGATTCAGTTTTGTAGGTAAATATACTATACATGATAAATATTTTACATTGATAAATATGGAATACTATACATGTAGGTAAATATGGAGCATGTATCATATCCTCAACCCCGATACCCCATAAATGGCTCAAATGTATGGCATATGGCCATTGGGGGTTGAGGAGAGGATTCCAATGAAAATTTCGGTTCCGGAAATGAATGATTTACTCTGAGATGATCCCAAAATGCTACGGTGGGTAGCCTATTTCCTAAAGCTACTTGGACTAGGCTTAATTACTTGTCTGGTAAAAATCATGGCAATATTCCTTTTGAAATGGGATATGACATGTTGTGTTACAATATTGGAACAACCACGTTTTACCGTTGTACCCATCAAAAAAATATCAAAAAGTACTGTAAATGGGGTTGGAACTTCCAAACATATTGGAAAATTATAGCACCCCCGCACAAATGAATTGATCATTTCTTAGTGGGATGATTTTACTTTTTCCTGGTTGGTGGTTTCAAACATGTTTTATGTTTCCATATATTGGGTATAAGGTGAACAACTGACTTTCATATTTTTCAGATGGCTTGAAACCACCAACCAGTTTCTTTTTTTTCGGTGGGGGTACTATAAGGTGTTGCTCTCTTTGCAGCCCACTTATGGCAAATCGTGGCCGTGCTCGCTAGTCCCAAAATCATTTGGAACAGATTGGCTGTTTGTTGTCGGAATCGTGACACCCATTGACACCCAATAGGACTTTTCAATGATTTGTTTTCGGATTTATTTTTCAGAAAATAGAATTGTGTTGTCTCATTTTTTGAATAAAATGACCAGTTTCCAATAACTTCGTTGTTGGTAGCCGTGGCACAAGCTGAGTCCAACGGAATTAAACGGTGGAAAAGGTGCAGATGGCCCAGGAGATGGGGCTTTCCCAAGTGGAAAAAATCCCCCGCCATGGTTGTTTCAATAATGTGGCTAAAACAATGTGATTTTTACAACCCATTTTCCTGGGAATGGTAGTCACTTATACCACCCAAAAAAAATTGCTGTAATTTTTCTGGGGGATGGTAGACATGAAATTGTTTTACCCACACTAAACTGATACAACGGGATGATGTGGAGTAAAAAAAAACACATTCGTTCGGAAAACTCCCATTTTTGTTCAGTAACCTCCAGTACTCTAACCTGACAACGGACGAACATCTGTACGTTACTCTCTGGTAATTTGTTACGTAGCTATTGAAAATTGCCATTTATAGTTGATATACCTATTAAAAATGGTGATTTTCCATCGCTATGTTAGTTTACCAGAGGGTACTCTGTATTTTTGCTACACAATTGTTGCTACATGTTGCTACACAATTCTGAATTAGTTTCCACCTTTTTTAGTTGGTGAAACGCTGTTGAAGCTTTTATTGGGGTCATATGCGAAACCATAGTTAAGGTGGTTTCATTGGTTACAGTAACCAGCTAACTATCGTTGTCATTAAAAAACATGTGTTTGACTAGGTCAGTCTTAGATGGGCACTTTAATCCTTTAGTCCTTTGGTATCAACGGGAATATCCACTAACCAGCAAAGAATTTAATTGTTTGCAGGCTATCTAAGATTGGCAATGTTGATAGTTTCATATGGTTTCCCTAGAGTCGCCATTGAAATCCATGATGGCGAAACTATGTTAAAATCCACACCTTTGATGGTTACACTATGTTTCAAATCCACATGTTCGATGATTTCTCTTCCCCGTATTTTCATTGGGCATATAAATTCCAAAGGGTCATTTTACCTCTATAATTGGTACCCTCTGGGTATTTAACATAGCCATGGGAAATAGCCCATTTATAGATGATGTTCCCATTAAAACCTCCATTTATAAGGGATTTTCCATGGCTATGTTAAATGACCAGATGGTAATTGATGATTGGATGGCTACATGACGTCATGCGATTTTTGTCCCAGGAACGCCCTTACGATCCTGATGAAGATGCTTGGCATAGCCAGTGGAACGTCGTGGTTTTAGAAAAAAAGAAGCGACGTTGACGACGGACCGTTGATTCGGGGAATGCGGGATGTTGGTTGAGAAAACTCCAAAAGAAATGGTTTCTAGGGGACCTATCGAACTACTTAATGGGATTTAATTGTGTTTCGAACTGATAAATGATGGTTGATGAATGATTATAGTTAATTTTAGTACCCAATACAAAGTGGTGCCCGGGTGCCCGCAAAATGATAGCAACATTGGTTGCAGTAACTCCACTATGGTTTACGATACTTATAACATCTTACAATTGTAGTTCTTGGGTTTTTAAACCAGCTTATAACTTGGCCCCACATTGTAGGGATCTTTTTTTGGGACGCATTAAAAAGGATTTCGAATGGCCTTATGGATTAAGAACCATGGTTTCTTTTATGGTCTTGTGCGACATGCAGCCTGTGGGATGCCTGTGGGGGATCGGGACATCCGTCAGAAAGCATCTATCAGAAAGAGGGTTTTCTGTACATAGGACCATACAGCTATGGCCCGTTTTATACTATTTTATCAGTCAGTTATAGCCCATGACAGCCCATTAAGATGGAATGATAACCCCATGACCAGGACCATAAACATGACTGGTTTACAGGGCTTTGAGTGTAGAAAAAAGGGGGTCTTCAGGATTCGATATCTTGATCCATCTCCAACATCTTTGGGATGACTTCATCAAACATGGGATTTTAACCAGTAAAATGATAAGTTTACCATCAAAATCTCCATGATTACTGGGAAAATCACCATTTAAGATTTTTACCAAGATGACTTCATCAAACATGAGATTTCAACCAACAAACAAGATTTAATGAGCAGAATTGATTTTATGAAACCTCTGGTTTAAGTCAACTAACAAAAACCATAAAGTCCCATAAAATCTCATGAATTTCCATTAAATTCCATTACCCTCTGGTAATTTGTTACATAGCTATTGAAGCCATGGCCCCTTTAGTTCGTTGATTTACCCATGAACAATTATGATTTTCCATAGTTATGTAAACGTTTACCAGAGGGTAATGAGCAGAAGTCTCAATCATGGGTAGTACTTGCGTCCCATGGTTATCAATCACTGACCAAGCCAGTGTCATTATCTAGAATGTATCTAGATTATAATTGGGTAATCTTATTTCAATCCCATATAATCATTCTTCAAACATCCTTTATCAATGTTTATCTGGCTGGTGGTTTGGAACATGTGTTATTTTCCATATATTGGAAATAATAATCCCAACTGAATAATAGTTTTCAGAGGGGTTGAAACCACCAACCAGTTATCCAAGTATTAAAACAATATTTATCAGTGATATCCCCATATTTTCATATTATGGAGGTTTCCTCCAATAGCTGGATGATTTGGCGGTTTTCCTATTTTGGGAAAACACCGAAAGTGTCAAACTGTTTCATGGTTTCATCCATCGGCCCGCAGTCAGTACTCGTCGCTCAGGAATCGCGCCTGCCTGGACCGCGTGGCAGATGAGCTCTGCGAGTTTGAAACCATCACGGGTGATCGATTAAAGGCGCTCCCTAGAACCACTGGAAGCGCAAAAACCAACCGGTGGTCATGCAATAACTATGGTTATATTATGGTTACATTATAATTACATTGTGGTTAACTATGGTTATACTATGCTCATACTATCATTACCTATAGTTACATTATGGTTAACTATGGTTATACTATGCTCATACAATCAGTACCTATGGTTACATTATGGTTAGCTATGGTTATACTATGGTTATACTATGGTTACCTATGGTTACATTATGGTTACATTATGGTTACATTATGGTTACATTATGGTTACATTATGGTTACATTATGGTTAACTTTGGTTATACTATGGTTATACTATGGTTATACTATGGTTATACTATGGTTATACTATGGTTATACTATGGTTATATTATGGTTATACTACCTATGGTTACATTATGGTTAACTATGGTTATACTTTGGCTATGATATGGATCAAAAAGGGAATATATCGAACTACTTCATGGGATTTCATGGGGGGTTATAACTGATAAACGCATATAAATGATGGTTGATCAATTTTGATATATAGGATTGTATTGCACAAAATGTAGGGAATTATAGTACCCAATGCAAAATGGGGCCCCCAAAACATTTGCTAAGTTGGTTGACAAAACTCCAATAAATTTGCTTTATGATAGTTATAACATGTTATAAGTATATAGTTATTGGGGTTCATAAGCCCGCTTACTTACAAATGGAAATGGGGTGTCCCGCAACTATAGTCACCCCAAAAAGATAGAAAAGTGAAAACCGAATGGGAATAGGATGCGGATAGTTGATGTTAGTAATATGGTGAATAGACATTAATGGAATATGTGTTAGACATTAATGGAATATGGTCACCGACAGAATTATGAAAAAAAAAACGTTCAACTTAGACAGGCGGCGCCTGCGTCCGATTTTTCCATAATTAGGTTTTTCCCCATAAGGGTTCAAAATATCCCGGAAGTGATCCGAACCTTTTGTTTTTCCATAATTCTTGGAGGTGGCCATTATTTCATATTATTTCCATAATTGATTTTTCCTGTAAAATCAGGGGGCTAGGGCAGATTGACCGGTTTTTCCATAATTATTTTTTTCCATAATTATTTTTTCCATAATTACTTTTTCCATAATTAATGTTTGGGGCTCCACCTGTTGGACATGTCATGGATCCACAATTCAAACCCCTTTTTTTGGGGGTTATGGAAGTATGTATGCAAATGCAAGTATGTAGTATCAATGGAAGACTTAGGGGCATATACCAGATCTTTAGACACATATTTTCTATAATTCAATATTCCCCCTTAAAATGCATTCAAATTGCGAACATCACATGATATTATATATATCAATGGAAGACTTAGGGGCATATACCAGATCTTTAGACACATATTTTCTATAATTCAATATTCCCCCTTAAAATGCATTCAAATTGCGAATCGATGGACATACAGTCACCGACAGAATTATGGAAAAAAAATAATTATGGAAAAAATAATTATGGAAAAAAAAGGTTCGTAACTTTTCTATCATAGACAGGCGGCGCCTGTAAATTGAAACGTTTTTTTTTCCCATAATTCTGTCGGTGACTGTATTTGTTGCAAAATCAAGAATTTAGTCCAGTGCATGTCTAATTCACGAGGGAAGCTGAGTTTTTGTATCATGACTGAACACATCGCCATATGTCATATGCCTATTTGTTTCATGCTTAAGTTCCCAGCTTTCTTACTGGAAACCCCGTTTTGGTTGGTTCATCCAAGGGTGTTGTTGATTACCCCCTGGTAATTTGTTACAGTTCGCTATTGAAAATGGCCATTTAACCATCGAAATAGTGAGTTTTCCCATGAAAAATGCTGGATCTTTCCATCGTTTTTTGTTAACGTTTACACCAAGTGGGGATTCATAGAGGGGTTTCAGAGAGAAGACATCAAGACATCCGAGGTGAAGCAATGAAGGAATCTTAAAACTGCGGTTTACCCCAAGTATAATGATTATATCATCGTACATCTCATTTATACACTATCAATCACTATTGATTTACCAAGTTAGATCCCTTTTCTTGGTGGTAACATGTGGAAACGCATGCAGTTCACTATGTTCACCATGAACTCTGGTAGATTTCCACCACTTTTGGTGTTTTTTTTTCGCCATGATGCCATGGGCAAAGATCCTTAGGATTCCTCAGGGATGCTTAGGCGTTGTTAAATCCCAACGCCGGATATAACTCCAGATGGTATACTCTTAATATACTGTCAACAATGGTTAATAGATGGTTATTATATGTTTAATGATAGTAATCTTCACCATTTCATAGATACGTTATGATTTGTTGATAGAAAAAACACATGGGAAAGACACTGGAAAGGGCCCCCCAACGATAGGTAAGTTGGGTTATAACCTGGCAACCAGGCTAACTTAGGCTGGATACACCAAACTAGTTAGATAAGGTTATACACCAGACAAACTTAACTATTGATATATTCGGGAAATCCCAATTTATATCCGTTTATAGACTATGTTCCCATATTTTCCCATCCTGCAATTTCTGATAGCCTCTGGTAAGCAAACAGTTTGCTATGGTTTACCGGACTTCTAAAATACCGGACTTGATTTTCCATAGATTTCCCATAGATTTTCTGACCTTTTTGTGATTTACCGAACTAAACAGAGTTGTTTTTTCATGTCGCCGTCACTGCTTGTTTACCCAGGAAGTTGGTGAATGCTACCTTGTTTACCAACAGTAAGATTCCATGCCTTGCATGTGAAATGAGGAACAATGTCACATATTCCCATAGATTTTCCATTGATCTGCCAATTCTTCATAGATTTCCAGTCGAAACTTTCCCCATTTCCCAAAAAGATTTTCCGTAGATTTTCCAAATTTCCACCGATTTTCTATGGATTTTCCATATGTTCCATAGTTTTTCCGTAGAAAAAAAACGATTTCACCCGTCCCAATTCGTTGCAGGAGCTCGTGGCGGAGTATACAGAGATCCCCGAGAAGATGGCCGCGGTTGCCCGGGCAGAAGTCATGGGTTTTCCCAGTCATCATCCACTGGTTGGTGGTTTGGAACATGGCTTTTATGACTTTCCATATATTGGGAACAATAATCCCATTTGACTTTCATATCCCTCAGAGGGGTAGGTATACCACCAACCAGTCCATTTTTAGATTGGAAAATCTATGTTTAAATGATGGTACCATCCATTTCCCATCGTCATCCAATCCCATATGGAAAATAGATGTTCAAAATGGATGGTTAGAATATTGAAAATAATGTGGTTAAAACAATGTCATAAACCACCCATTTGGGAATGGTTTCAATCCCACCTATAAAAATGGTGATGACTTGGGGATGGTTTATTATTGTTTTAACATGTTTTAACCACATATGGGAGATTAATTGGGAAATATCAATGGTTTAACTTTTTAAGTGTATGTTTTAATGATGGGGGTCCCCAGCCATCCATTATGTAGCTAGATGGTTTATGTCATGGAAAATCCCAAACGACAGATAAGCTAGTTGGGATTCAACTAGTCAATGGGAAATTCAGGATCCTAAAATGGAGGTACGTTAGTACAATATTTTTGACCATATTTTGAGGGGATATTCCCAGAAATTTAGGCCTGAAAAATAGGCCTTATATATGGTAGGTACCTCCAATTTAGGTTCCTGAAATGGCCATTGAATGATGCTACCCCCAGTCATCATCTATTTTAGATGGGGATTTTCCATGAAATAAACCAGCGATAAAGGGGTACCCCCATGAAAACCATGAAAATATGGGGATATGAGTGGATATCCATTGCTTATACTGATTATTTTAACTGACGAATGATGATTGGTTGATTAATTACTATAGTTGTTTAATTCTTTTGGGGGGGTATACTACCCAATATATTGAGCATTGTCATAATCCATGATGAGAAATCCCGACAACATAAAGCCGCCAACATAAAAGGACGACGTTGCGGCGGCGGTCACTGTACTTGCGATCATCACTGATCAATCTGAATGAATTTGATCGTGACCTCACGTGTTGACGTAACTGGATGATGGCCATTGTAAATGAGGAATCATCCCCATGGTGGGCCAAAGATTCCGGTGAGTAAAAAGTCTTGTGATTTATCCAGATCACTGATGATCAATTTTGATGTGTTATTTGAAGGATGCGAAAACTGATGAAATTAAGATCTACAGTGCTACAGTTGCTGGCTGGTGGTTTAGGACATTTTTTATTTTTCCATTCAGTTGGGAATTTCATCATCCCAACTGACTTTCACTCCATCATTTTTCAGAGGGGTAGGGCTCAACCACCAAGCAGAACATGTTATTAACCATCATTAACCATCATCATTAACCATCATCATTAACCATTATTAACAGTATATTAACCATTAGGGCTAGGGTTCAACCACCAGCCAGGTTGTTTTTTTTCTCAGTGTAGAGCATCGAGCATCACTGTCCGTCATGACGGACACACATAAGATCCCACCAGGTGGTGTGGTTTCCAGATATTTTGGTTGGTTGGTTTAGAAAAGCCCCAAGATTTACCAAGATTTTACCCAAGATTTACCCTCTGGTTTGTCAACATTCTATTCCCATTACCTTGGGTAAAATTACCCTACATCCTATCCAACATTTTTTGGGGTTTGTTAATTTCCCCCCAAGATTTACCCTCTGGTAATTTAACAAAAACTATGGAAAGATCCACCATGTTTAATGGGAAAATCCACTATTTCGACTGGGCCATTTTCAATAGCTATGTTAAATTACCAGAGGGTATACAATGATCGTTGAAACCCTATAAATCATGGGATTTTTCTCATCTATCAACTGGTGATTCGGATTTCGCTGGCCCATCCACAATATGTCATGATTATACAAGGTTTTGGGCCCCCAAACCTTATGTTTATTGGTTTGGATTCACCCCATGAATACTAGTTCGATATATCTACCATAAACCATAGTGAAATTGAAGTTATTGGCACCAACTGAACGCTAACGAACTGGGGCACCACATTGTAGATATACTGGTGAACATGAAAATAGCTGGGATTCATGGATGTTCATCCCGCTAAAAATGGTATTTATAGGTATGGTTTATATAAATGGTTTATACTATTGCAATATCCCCATGGTTTATTTATCAGATATAGCTACAATAAACCAAAGGTATTGGAGTTAGGAAGGCACCAACTTAGCTAACTATAGGAGGCACCACCTTCCACAACAGTGCCGAGGTTTGAACACAGTGATCGGCATAGTTTTCGCCGGGTCGGGTCGAAAAATGATAAAAATGACCTGAAAGCCCCATGGGCTGTTGAAGGTCCGACACCCAACCCCTTGGATTATCTTGGATTTATGGAACAGCTTGGGACATTTGAAATCTGCTGGTGTCAAACCCTGAACTTTTGGTCTAACTGCTGGTTTTTCAGGACTTGAAGCACTGGTTGAAAAATAGGAGTGTGGTAAAATGCGAATGTTTGTTTGTTGTTTTTGCGACCTGCTTTATTTTGCAAGCGTCAACCTAGCAGATGATCCCCGATGAAAATCATATTTGCCGTTCCCCGCCAGTCGTGTCCTGTGCGGCGGAGCGAAATTTTCAGGATGCTTGAAGGATGTGACCCTTCAGAGTATCCCGTCATAGTTTTTGGTACAGACTCTTGCTAGACCAGATATAATCTTAGCAACAGTCCGAGTATCGCGACAAGAAAAAGGAGGCTTCATTAATATGGCCCTTGTAAAGAAGTTATACCCTCTGGTTATTTAACATAGCCATGGAAGCCATGGCCCATAGAAATAGATGATTTTCCTCCCAGCGATCGAAACCTCCATCTATGGTAGGGATTTTCCATGGCAAACTGTTAGTCATAACCAGATGGTAAGTCAGTAAGTCACCCCATTGCCATAGAAATCACTGGGATTTCACTGTTGAGGATTTGTGGCAGGTGATGATGGTCCGGAAAAGTTGGTAAAAATCAGGGGCCAATGTTTGGGTCCAACAAACTGCCCCAAGCATCCGCAAACTTTCACAACGTATACCATGTTCGATCCAACAAAAAGGGCTCATCGCTTTTTGTCTAGGTTAGGGTCTCAAAGTTCCGGGTCACAAACGAGCATTTTGACTGATACAGGCAGTTTATGGATATCTAGCCTATGTTTTTGTCAAACCTTTCCACAATTCACATAGAACCTGAAATCCCTCATTGGCAGGGTAGTTATGTTAATTTACAGTAGGGGTAGATACTTCTGCATAATTACGTGCCTTTACAAAGAACCCTATCGGATAGGCAACGATACTGTGGATGGTTGCAAAATCCTGCACCACCAAAAGGATGGTTGAAACCCTATAAATAATGAGATTTTTCCCATCTATCAACTGGTGCAGGATTTCGCAACCATCCACAGTATCACACCTAGACTTCTCTTCAGTGTCGAGATGTAAATTTGAAACGGGGAGAAGCCTGAAACTTTATATTTCAATGATGGTATATCATCGTTATGGAAGAACGAACCAGCCATATTAACGAAAGACAAGAATTAACCATATACCCTCTGGTTATTTAACATAGCCATGGAAAATTGCCCATAGAAATCGATGGTTTACCTATTAATAGCATGGTGATTTTCCAGTTCGCAAACTGTTAGTCATAGCCAGGTACTGGTTATCCCACAACTAAGTTATATTAGTCTATTAGATTCGATTTGTTTGATTGGTGCTTTCAATTATGTTGAGACCTTGTTGATTTTTGTGCCGTTCGGATGATGTTCTCCAAGGCCTACGATTTTTCGACTAGGGGATGCGGTAAGCTCTGATTTTTCTGGTTATATAAGGGTATTTTCATATAGGGATTATATCTGAACTCAGAGGGCTGAAAAACCATGATCATACCTCTAGAATTCATCTTTCAAGTGCAGCCCAACGATTTTTTTGCTTTATAAACATCATTCACTCATATTCACTCATTAACTAGATATTATATCTACCAATATCTATCATAAACCATAGAATTCACAGTTAATATAGTTGACTCCCAAGTAGCTTAGGTGCCATCTACCTCTGGAAGATTTGCACACGGAGAAGCTGCTCCTGTAAGCTGTGTTCGAGAACTCAGCTGGGATATCCGGAGGAAGAAACCGTCGAATTTACATGAGCCAAGTAGAGATTTGGAATGGGGATATAGTCTTACTTGTGCTTAGTAGGTAATTTTCGGGAATGATCCACTGGCTAACTATCAACAATAATCCCAGCAACCCCCAGCAACCCATCCATTGCCTACGTTTAGCACCAGTAACCAGTAAGTAGTTGGTTTGTAAACCCCAATATAGTTATATGATGTTATATGGGTATCATACTTGGTGGCTCATCTCACTTAGGAAGTGGCTTCCAACCCTGGTTCTTCTATCAGATATATAAGTAGGGGCAATGTCCACTAGTGGCCTGAGCCACCAAGTAAACCATGTAGTTCTTGGAGTTACCCTCTGGTAAACTAACAGTTTGCTATTGAACATGGCCATAGAAATAGTGTGTTTTCCCATTAAAAATGGTGATTTTCCATAGTTATGTTAGTTTACCAGAGGGTATTGGCACCAACTTAGCTACAGTTTATGATAAATATCTTGTATTCCATAGTGTTTTCTGCCACAGATCCCACCCGATCCTACAAAAATCTGGCCATTGGTGAACGTTTTAACCCATGGCCAGCAGTGCCAACTCGTCCAAGTTTCAGACATGCTGAGTTCACCATTGAGTGCGAGCTATAACCGTTGGACATGGGAAACAGAATTCACAGAATCCAACAAATTCAGTGAAGCAAATCCCTCAAAGACATGGGTCCACAAATCCTGTCACAGGGATTTTCCATGGGGATTTAGTGCCTATGTAAGCGTTGAAAATGTTGAAAAACATAGTGATTTACCAGTGGTATTACGTTGGAAAAAGCGTTTCCAATAGTGCAAATCCCCATGTTTTTTCCTTTCTCAAAATGGCGCGCCAAGAACAGATCCCCATTTTATGGTGCCCATGGTGCCCGGTGCCCTCACATGGCGGGGCCTTGCCGAACAGAAGTAGGTATATAACCACAGAATTACCCTCTGGTAAACACACAAAAAACTATGGAAATTACCATCTTTAAGTTCGGTAAAGCAACTTTAAATCAACTATTTCTATCTGCCATTTTCAATAGCAAACTCTTGCAAATTACCAGAGGGTATGTTGTAGGAGTTGCATCCCATCTTATAGGCTGGTTGGTAGTTTCAAACATTTGTTATTTTCTATTTCATATATGGGATAATCCCAACCCCAGTGACGAACTCCATGATTTTTCAAGATGGTGAAATTGCACCACCAACCAGTAGGGGTTACTTCACCATGGTAAAGCCTATCCCAAGAGATCCGAGAGATCCGACATGATCCGACCATCCCAGGCCGCAACGGCTATCGCAGCCTCGATTTGTTGGGCTGCGGTGGCTACGGTGACCCAGCTGCGTTTTTTCAGCTGTTTCTGTGGCGACAAAACGTGTGGAGAAGTTGAAGCTTCAAAGATGGGAGAATTTGAAATGACAGCAACCCCAAAAAAAGATGCCGAACAGTGTTTCCAGGATGTTATAGATTATAGTTATTGCATATTTCCAGGTTTCTCACATTTCAACATTTGTTTGAGGGTTATTATAGATGAAAGTATGGTAATAATTAACTATATATAGATGCAATACCATGAGATGAAACATCACTTCAATAACTAGGGATCATAGTAATCATAACTACCGTTTTTCTCGCCGTTGTACCCATAAGAATGGTATGTTATTCCATAGTTGCTTTGTACTTTCACTACCATTTGTTTGGGGTATTTGGAGGGTGTAGGTTGTAGGTACAGTGTAGGTATATGAAATTATGTTGTTTAGCGTTGAAATCAAGTTCTTACTATGGTGAATACTTCTGAAATCTATTGGCATGTTCTGAGACTATTCCTGTTACCTGTGAAATAATAACGTTGGCACCAGGTTTGAAAACCTTGGATTTTTACGTGTTTTGCAACTCGGGCCGCACATCTAGATGAGATTTGCCCAAGTGATAGCCAATACAATTCTTACTGGTGCTTAGCAGGGAATGGATGGGAATGGGGGTTGCTGGGATTCTTATTGATAGTTAGCCAGTGGATCATTCCCTCAAATTCCCTACTAAGCACAAGTAAGAATTTAGCCATGAAGTGATAGATTTCATGAACAACTCCTAAAATCAATGGGAATTTCAAGATCCTAAAATGGAGCTACTGTGCCTGAAAAATAGGCCTTAAAAATATATTGTAGGTACCTCCAATCAATCGGTTTCCTGAGTCATGGCCTTGACAAAAAACCGCTCAAGGCTCTTATCTCCGTTCATCCAGCTGATGAATCATCGTTTTCCCTATCAAAACAGCCATGATATGTGGAAACATACATATCCTTCTCCCCCAAAACCAAGCTGATGATCATTTTCCCTATATTTGATATATTAACGAGAAGAATGTTCATCAGGCGAACACACCTTTTTTGATTTGTTTCAGCGGTCCAGGTGCTTTTTGGAGGTCGGTGAGTCTGGTGAAACACCAAATCGGTGATTTGTTTGTACAAGGGGCTCCCGAACGATAGGATTCAGGTTGTATACACATAACATTACACAACTACAAGAGGAATTTATGCTGGATATCTCGAACTAATATGAACGACTTGGTGGTTCATCCCGCCACTTAGTAAGTGGGTTATAACGCCAGTTATAAGTGGACTAACCCTACTTATCACATTTACAACCAGGGTTAGATGGGTTGAGAAACCAGTTTGAAACCACAAAGGCAATTTAAAACTGAGGGGCCCTTCCTATTGATCTCTGCATTGCCCATGTATTTTGCGCTCATCTTGGCCGTTGAAATCTGCATCATATTTCAGGTAAAATCAAAAAGTTTGGGGTTAAAGTCCCTACGTTTGCTCTCTACACCTTCCATTTCAGCTTGGTTTTTCGTGGTAAACCATGTTTTTCAGTGGTTTTAATGGCATAAAGTCACCGAAAATCCCCCTTCCGTCTAAACAGAGCACAGCCCCGAGGCTCGGTGTACTTGGTGGAACGGATGCCCAACTTGGATCGCTTCGTCTCGAAGAAGTTTCTTGGTGGAACGGGTTATTAATATGGGATATATATATATTCAATATAGTGGTGGATAATCAATGGTTAAATATATATATATATATAGTGGGAATATATTTCCATCAATAAAGTGGTGGGAAATAACCATTGTTTAAATATATATATATAGTGGTGGATAATCTATAACTATATATTAACCATTGATTAACATATTAGTATATTTTCCATTAATTAAACAGTGGTTATTATTATATATATAGTGGTGGATAATAACCAATGTTTATGGGGGGTTGATGATGGTGGATA